ATATATATATATATATATATATATACATATATATATATACATATATATATACATATATATATACAGTTTATATACATATATATACTGTTTAATGTTCTATAATGTTCTATGTGAAGCTGTTTTGACAATCTACATCGTAAAAACCTTACAGAAATAAAGATGAATTAAATTAATAAAGTTCCTTCAACATCATTTGCTTTGAATAAAACTGTGTGCCAAATCTGTAATTGCACCGTCTTTCCATCCTGCAGGTGGTGATAAAGCGTCGGCCGATCCTGTATGTGGTGAACCTGATAATCCCCAGCGCCTTCCTCATGATCATTGATATCCTCTCCTTCTACCTGCCGCCTCACAGCGTCGACCGATCCTCTTTCAAAATGACCCTCATTCTGGGATATACAGTGTTTCTCCTCATCATGAACGACCTGCTTCCCAGCACTGCTAACGGGACACCTTTAATAGGTCGGTTGCTAGGGCCAATGCACTGGACTATTTTGCACTGTACATACCTGTTTTATGTAGTGTGTGTGTGATTTTGTAAGCAATCCAGATTTTTTGCCCTAGTATATGTGCCCCAAATAACCTTTAAGCAAATCTCAATCTAAAACAATGTTGTATTATACTAATAATATTTTGTTTTATTTCTTCAGGCATCTATTTCTCAGTGTGTTTGGCACTCATGGTCTTAAGTCTACTGGAGACGGTACTGATCACCTGCGTTCTCCACCACAATTCCATGAAGTACAGGCCGGTGCCACACTGGGTACAAGTTCTGGTCATACGATTCATCGCTCGACTCATTTGCTACAGTTTCCCCGAAGACCCTTTGGCCAAATTTGAAGAGAAACAAGACACCAATCCATGGGTTGCCCAGTCTACAGAATCAACATCCGGTCAACAGATAGCCACTAACGGTGGGTAGCAAATACACCAATACAAAACACAGATCCCAAAGTCTCTTTTAAGGCAAGTAATTTCACTCGGCGGCCATGTTTGAAACACCACTCAGGCAGTATCCTTAGGCGTTCTGTTTTAATGGCGAAACATTGAAGTCTCCAAAATTGCTTGCCAAGCTTAAGATTACATTTCATATTAGGAATCACCAATAAAATTAAACGCCTGTCTCTTTAGTTTCATTTCTAAATCAGAGAACATCTGCAGGTCTGGTCCAAGATCCTCCCCTGAAGAATCGTCAGTCTAACGCCCCAATCACACGAGGCTTCAGCGTCAACGCTTCCCATTCACTTTGAATGGGTGACATCAGGCATTGCCGAACTGCATTGTGGATCCATCAGCACCGCTTCAGAGGCGTTGCTCGCTGCAGAAGTTGGGACTAGCTCAACTTTTCAAGCGCCAACGTAAACTTCAGCCAATCAGATCGCTGTATGCAAATACACCAGCTAGACAGTGGCCTATTGCTGACTGAATTTCATTGGCTGACGCTGCTATGACGATTGCTTCAGCCCCAACTTCAGACACGCCTTCAGTCAAGCGTTTACGCTAAAGCCCCGTGTGAACGGGGCGTAATAGCATCACTGATTGGATCCTGTACTAGAAGGCGGGGCTTTATTTGCCATATTGACCGTAACACCTTTCCCCCGTTTAAAACTATACGAGTGAACTATCTTGTGTATTCTATAGTCTTTCCCGATATTAATTTTCAGATGTTTGTTTTGTTTTTTTGGTGTCCACTAGCATCTGGAACCATGACACTGGACGTACCCGAGCTCAGACAGATCAGTCAGGATCTTAAAGAGATGAGCACTTATTTGTCTATTCTACGAAAGGAAGATCATCTGCAGAACCAGTGGTGCCATGTTGGATACATCTTGGATTTCCTCCTTTTCCGCATTTACTTGCTGATAATCACAGGTTATGCACTTGTAATCATATGCATGTGGTGCATATGGATGAACCAGTAGGAAGAGTCCGGCGTAGAGTTTAAAAATCTAAATCTTAATTACAGATCTTTGGGTTGTTTTCTCAGTTCATTAGGGATAAAGTTATAATGAAAAGAAATCGATTGAGATTGTTTGTTTTTTAATAACTTATACAGATTTGGTGCATGCTATTACAAGGTCAAATAATAGAAAAATGCTTACATATAAGGGAAACCAATTATTTGCTGATATATATTAGTTAGCATGTTTATGTGACCGATAATCAATAACAAAACCTGGAACATTTACTGTCATGGAACCGATATTACAAAACCGATATAAGACAATCAAAAATTGTACAAAGTAAATGTATTATTGGTTAAATCATTTATTTGTTGATCAGTTTGAATGTGAAATGTAACATACATAAATTTGCATCTGTGATCGATAACCGATAAGCAAAATAAAATAAAGGTAGATCTGATATCATAAAACTCATATCGGTTTAAATGAAAATAAACTGCTTGAAAAAAAAAAATGCTTAACAGCATGGAAAATTTTGCTAAAAAATTATTGGATCTCTTGCTGTGATTATATGCATTATTATTTTTCCGCCAATAAAAGATAGACAAGACTTATCTGTTTATCGGTGGATCATATAAAACACAATCAATATCGGTTTATGGAAAAATGCTTAAATATTAGGAAAATATGGATAAAACCAGTAAAATTATTTGGGTATTTGATTATGGAACGAGTAGTGATTACTTACTTGTGTATCTGGCTGATAACCAGTATCGAAAAATAGTGGTGAGCAAAGCGAGGCTTCATGAAACCCTAAAACAGTCGAAGCAAATGTGTTGAAGCTTCGAAATGTTTAGAAACCCCACTCTACGGTGACACCTAGTGTTCATTTGTTATGTATTGCACTGAAACGGCTTCAGCAAAGAACAGTTGAGCACAGTCCACTAGGCCATATGAGACAGTAATCTTTTCTGACGCTGTCAGTCAAATGCAAATTCGCCAGGTCTCGAAACGCTTCTAAACTGATCGATGCTTTGAATTAGAGGTCTGCATTCCTGACCAGATTTCTGTGGCCCGGGAATAAATTTTCGAATAAAGCGCGGGAACAGTCGGTAACTGGTTTAATTTTGGACTGGAGCAGCCGGTCTAACAATATCGCTCCCGACTCCCGAGCGAGCGAGCACGCGTATATATGTGTATGAAGACAGCGTGAGGCTGCGTTTAGCTTGTTTGTTGCTGTGTGTGTGCGCGAATGAGAGAGAGCTTTATCTGTACGTGTGTGTGTTTGTTTATACAGAAAGCTTGTTATAGGCTGTCTGGACTCTGTATAGCTGGGTGGTTTTCGGTTTTGTTCTTCCCCCGCTCTTTAGCGTTAACGGGCGCGGCGGGTAGAAAATTGGGCAGGTTGGGGAGCGAGACAACAAATGCTGAATGTAAGCGAGAGCAGTCGAGCTAAAACCTGGCAGAAGCGGGATTCAAAATTTAGTCCCGCGCAGATCTCCACTTTGAATCGCTTTAGTCACGTGACCGGGTGACTTGGGTGTTTTTCAGATCATGCTTCAGAGCAGTGTTTCGAAACACTTGCGCTTCGGGATCTTAACACTGTGTCGAAACGTCAGTTTCACATCAGCCATCCCTATCGAAAACAGAATCATTTAGTGAGATGGAACCGATACTACAAAACCTAACTATGATTATGGAAAAAATGTTGTGATATTAGTAAAATTTAAGTAAATTTAAAGTATTGCTTGTTGACTACTAGCTGATTTTTACCCTGAGTGATTGAAAAGTAACATTTCTAATAAATATCCCTTAATTTGTAAAAAAAAAAAAGAAGCTTTTAAAGCTTTTGTAAAAGCACATTTGCAGAGCACAAAACAGAACTTGAATATTAAAAAATATATATTATTATTGACACAACCCGATTATCGGTATCTATATTAGTAAAATGCAGAGCATGAGCAAATCATGAAAAAACAGCTCATTATTAGTGGATCCAATATTACAGAACTTAAAATATATTACCAATAATACAACCCCTAAAGAGCAACCTGGATAACACCCTATTGAGCAATTACAGGCCAATCTCAAATCTCCCTTTCATTGGCAAAATCATTGAAAAAGTTGTTTTTAACCAGGTCAACAAGTTCTTAAACTTCAGGGGGTGTTTAGACAATTTTCAATCGGGGTTCAGAGCACATCACAGTACAGAGAGCGCTCTTATAAAGATAATCAATGATATACGCCTAAATACAGATTCAGGTAAAATAACAGTGCTGGTATTGCTGGATCTCAGTGCTGCATTTGACACTGTCGATCACAGCATACTTCTGGATAGGCTGGAAAACTGGGTTGGGCTATCTGGCACGGTCCTCAAATGGTTTAGAACTTACCTAGAAGGTAGAGGTTACCATGTCAGTATAGGTGACCATAGGTCGAGGTGGACACCCATGACGTGTGGAGTCCCACAAGGCTCGATTCTGGCACCTCTCCTGTTCAACCTTTACATGCTTCCTCTGAGCCAAATAATGAGAAAGAACCAAATCTCCTACCACAGCTATGCTGATGACACTCAGATCTACCTAGCCTTACAGCCTAATGACTACAGCCCCATTGACACCCTCTGCCAGTGCATCGATGAAGTGAGCAATTGGATGTGCCAAAACTTTCTTCAGTTAAACAAAGAGAAAACTGAAATTATTGTGTTTGGAAACAAAGATGAGGTTCTCAAGGTAAATGCGTACCTTGGCACTAAAGGTCAAATGACAAAAAATAAGGTCAAGAATCTTGGTGTGACTCTGGAGTCAGATCTGAGTTTCAACAGTCATGTCAAAGCAGTCAGTAAATCAGCATACTATCATCTCAAAAACATAGCAAGAATCAGATGCTTTGTTTCTAGTGAAGACTTAGAGAAACTTGTTCATGCTTTTATCAGCAGCAGGGTGGATTACTGTAATGGACTCCTCACTGGTCTTCCTAAAAAGACAGTCAGACAGTTGCAGCTCATCCAGAATGCTGCAGCCAGAATTCTGACCAGAACCAGAAAATCAGAGCACATCACACCTGTCCTCAGGTCTTTACACTGGCTGCCAGTTACATTCAGAATAGATTTTAAAGTATTATTACTGGTCTATAAATCACTAAACGGCCTAGGACCTAAATACATTACAGATATGCTCACTGAATACAAACCCAACAGATCACTCAGATCTTTAGGATCATATAAACTAGAAGTTCCAAGAGTTCAGTCAAAGCAGGGTGAATCGGCTTTTAGCCACTATGCCCCCGCTGCTGGAATCAGCTTCCAGAAATGATCAGATGTGCTCCAACATTAGGCACATTCAAATCAAGACTGAAAACACATCTGTTTAGCTGTGCCTTAACTGAATGAGCACTGTGCTGCGTCCGACAGATTGCACTATCATGTTTTTCTCTTCTTCTTCATTCTTTATATCACATTTTACCTGTTTTTATGTTTTGTTTTGTTTTTATGCATTTTTATTATTTGTTTTTATTTTTATTTTACTTGTTTCTTTTATTCTTCTTTATGTAAAGCACTTTGAATTGCCATTGTGTATGAAATGTGCTATATAAATAAACTTGCCTGCCTTGCCTAATCAGAAAAAATTGGGAGAGTATGGAAAATGCTAATAATAGAAAGTAGTGATTTCCAAATTTACTTTGACTTGTATTTTATTGCATTATTGCAACATTAATTAATATGTTCCTGTCTGCATTATTTAAAATTTCCATTTTTAAAAAAAAAAAAAAAACAATATTCTAATTTTGGTTCTTGCAACACATTTCAAAAAAGTTAGGACAGGAGCAATTTACGGCTAGTAATCTGTTAAACAGCCTAAATAATGATGTGATTTGAAACAGGTGATTGTAAATATGATTTGGTTCAAAAGAAGCATTCAAGAAAAATCTAGTCCTTTAGGAGCAAAGGTGGGCTGAGGATCGCCATTTTGCCAACAAATATGCGAGAAAATTATTGAAATGTTTAAAAACAATGCTCCTCAAAGAAAGATAAAAAGACATTTGGATATTTCACCAACAACAGTGCAGAACATCAGTAAAAGATTCAAAGAATCTGCAGGATTTCCAGTGCATAAAGGACAAGGGTGCAAGCCTAAGATGAGCTACCGTAATCTCTGATCCTTCAGGCGGCGCTGCATCAAGAATCATCATTCATCTATAAGCCAGATCACCACATGGGCTCAGGACTACTGTGGCAAACCTTTGTCAATTACCACAATACATAGTTACATCTACAAATGCCAGTTAAAAGTGTGCTGTGCCAAAAGGAAGCCCTATGTTAACAGTGTCCCGAAGCGCTATCGGCTTCTCTTGGCTCAAAGGCTTCTAGGATGGACCATCACACAGTGGAAACGTGTACTGTGGTCTGATGAAATAGTATATCAGGTATTTTTTGGGTAAAATGAACACCGTGTGCTACGGATCAAAAAGAAAAGAATCATCCAGACTGTCATAGTCAAGTGCCCTTGCCAAAGGTCACCTGCGCTTCTGTGATGAACCATTAATGCTGAAAAGCACATTGAGATTCTGGAGCACAATATACTGCTTACTTTTCAAGAGATGCTAATGAATATTTCAACAAGACGATCCAAAACCACATTCTGCACACATTACAAAGTCCTGGCTGTGAAGAAAAGGGATACAGATATTTGACTGGCCTGCCTGCAGTCCTGACCTGTCCCCAATAGAGAATCATTGTTGCATTTTGAAGCTCAAAATGCAATAACGAAGACCCTACACTGTTACCCACCTTAAGACTTGCTTGCAGGAAGAATGGGACAAAATGACACCTAAAACACTTCATCACTTGCTGTCTTCATTCCCTAAACGTCTATTAAGTGTTGTGAAAAGAAATGGCAGCTTTTCAAAGTGGTAAACACTTTACTGTCACTTTAACTTTTTTGAAATGTGTTGCAAGAACCAAAATGAGAATACGTGTTTATTTTGGAAACAATACAATAAAAATCACAATAAATAATGTTTGTGGTATTGTCTGCAATCAAATACAAGTCAAAGTTAATTTCTTTATAACTATTTTATTTTTTTCATTTGCGTTTTCCATACTTTCCCAACTGTTTCTGATCTGAGGTTGTAGTAAAACCGATTATCAGAATCTCAATCAGTGCGCATAATGCAGAGCACAATGCAGACCTAAACAACGCCATGCCTGTAAAACAATACACCAAAGCCTCAAAAACAGTCTAAACCTCTTTAATAATTAGTTACTCATATAACAATAAGAACTTTTTTATGTACATTTTCTCAAATAGTGCATCAGAAGCCCCTGAATAAAAAAGGCAATTCAGCAATTATACAACAGTAAGCTCAAGCGGACAACGTCGTCAGCAGCAGGATCAAATAAAAAGTTATAAACTTCATATAATATCTCAGAAGCAAACACACAAAGTAAGTTTCTACATTCATTCGATCTCATATACTTAAGGTCAGTGCATTTCAAGTCATGTAATGCTTGTGGCGAAGTAGCACATGGTTGTTATTGCTTCAGAAATACTCGCAGCAGCAAACAGACGGGCTCTTGGATATAGATTTTCTCTTTTTTTGCTCAAACTTGAGTCCAGTATGATGTAGTGAATTATAATACAACGTACTAATAAACTCGTAATCATATAACACTTTGGTACACCTCTTTTTTTGTTGCACAAATAGCTTCATTGGACCGCTTTTTAAGACTTAAAAGATTTTGGACTGAATGAGAGATGCTGGAATGATGCTCCTGGCTCAATCAAACATTAATACAGTCTTCGTTCAAAGAAATACAAATAAAAATCAATCATTAGTGCAAATAAAAAAACAACAAGACAAGACTTTTCCACCAAAGGGAACAGGGACACATACAAACAAAGTGCCATTTTTGGTAGGTGCAACATGTTAAAGCAAAAACACCTTTAATTGTAGAAATAAAGACAAGTGTCGGGCCTCGTTTGTGAAAAATGAGCAGAATTTTTCTCAATTTTTTCGTTTGAATTGTTTGTGAATCGCTATAATCACGCAAGTTAACAAAGTAAATTATTCAATACGTTTGGAAGTATTTTTAATTGACAACCGAAACACATTTGGTTCGGTAACTTACAAAAATAAATAGTAACCATACTTTTAACAATCAATAGTTTTGACGATCAATAACAACGAATTTCTATAAATACCGTAACCAAAATACCTTCCAAAATAACTTGAGACTCATGCAAATTTGTTCATAAAATGTTATGGTTAAATATGCAAGAGTCATCATAGAGACTAGAAAAACAACTTTCAGGATGAAACATTTACGAAACCAAATGGTTTTATGTTTTACGAAAGAGCAGAACGAAAAATAATGACCAGAAATACAATTAAGATAAATATAATTCGTAAAAGTGTCATATATAATAATAAAAAATTTATTGTGAAATGGTTGTTTTTTCTCACAATTTTGTACAAAACATTAAATTTTCTCATCCATAAACAACGCATCATTTTCGCTACTTGTACGAAAATATTGATATGAACGTTTTACACATTATGAACTTTCTAAAAACGTTTTATATATATATATATATATATTTCATACACACACACACACATTCCGTTACTAAGGCAATTAAAATTATTATGATTGTTTAGTGCACAATTTTGTTCTTAAATTCTTATTGTTTATTTGTACAACTGGAGTATATGATTTATGACTCAATTTGTTTGTTAATACATGTTCAGTTTGTTTGTTTGTTTATAAACATCTGACAGGTTGATTACAACACAATCTCTGACATGTTTTGTGGTTTCAAATACAAACAATGTTTTTTTTTTTATATGAATTGCTTTAGTAACTACAGTTGTTTTATGAACGAGAAAACGGAATGAGAACTGTTTAGAAAGAAATTTTGAAAAGAAAGTTTGTGCGTCAAACGTTGATGTTATTTACGGAAAAAAAAAAAATCTGTTTACTTGATTGAGGTCGTAAGCACTAAAAAAACAACTTTTAGGTAGAAAACTTTACGAAACCAAACGGTTTTATGTTTTACAAATGAGCAGAATGAGAAATAATGACCAGAAATACAATTCACTCTCTCATAAAAAGAGTAATATATAATAATAATAACTAAATTTACAGGGAAATTGGTGAAATTTGAATAGTTTTTCCTCTCAATTTTGTACACATCTTCAAACGTTCTCATCCATAAACAACCTATCATTGTTCCATGTATAACTCATTTTTACATTGTGCAAAATTCTTTCTCATTCACAAGTGTATTATATATATATATGAATAACATGAATTTCTGAGCAAAATTGGTCATAAAACATTCATATTCATTTGAATTAAGTTAGTTAATATATATATATATATCCGTTACTTATTTCTAATTAATACGATTCAATTCAGAAATTCATGTTATTCATTTGTATAACTGAAATATTTTGTTTTTATTACGAAATTTGTTCATTACCACATTTTCAGTTTGTTTGTTCACAAATTCTTGAAGATGTCGGACATGTAAAATTCAACATTAACCATCTCTGACATGTTTTGGTTGTACTCATGAACGAGAAAAATGAAAGAGAACGGTTTGTGACAATTTGTGCGTCAAACGTTGCTGTTATTTACAAAAACAAAAATCTATGTTCACTTAATCGAGGTTTAGGGTCTTAAAAAACAACTTTCAGGTTGAAAACAATATACAATATACTTCACTCATTCATAAGTGTGATATATATTATTGATTACTAATTTTTTTTGCGGAACTGTTTACATTTGAATAGGTTTTCCTCTCAATTTTGTACAAAACTACATTTTCTCATCCATAAATTTTAAAACTAAAATTGTTTTATGAATGAGAAAACTGAATGAGAATGAGTAGTTAGAGATGCATGAAAAAAATTTGTGCGTCAAACATTGATGATTAACGACAAAAAAATAATAAAAAATCTACGTTTAATTGATCGAGGCCTATTGTTGCATTCATCTAATTTTTCTAATAATTCTTAACAATAGAGAAATCCATTCTGCACAAATTTCACAAATGATGCTTGTAGTTTTCTTCGTTTTGGTCTTCAACACAGTTTACGCTGGAACACGGCACTTCTAGCAACCTGTCTGGAAACAATGAGTTCAGCTGCCTTTCTCCGTCTCCCTCTCTTTCCATTACAAGAGGCACAAAACAGCTTAAACGAATAAATACAAACAACGGTCACACATAAATGAACACATAAAAGCTGGCGACGAAGTACTGTTGATTAAAACAAATCAGATTTTAAAGGACGGAGGCAAAAGAAACAAAACATGGAGAACGGTAAAAAGACAAACAAGTTGGTTATTATCTGAAGGCATCGATCCTTAAAAACACAAACTTCAGTGTTTGCAGATAAACTCTTTAGTCAGCAGGACTTTTGGAGCAGCTTATTTGGGACGGGGGTGAACCGGAGTCTTACTAGGGTGATCTGCTATGTCCCGCAGGCCTCGTCCTCCTGCTCCTCCATGTTCCTGCGGGCCATTCGCTCCCTTCGCTCTGTTAGGCGGAGACACCGAGGACACTGCGTTCCTGTCTTAAAACAGCTCTTATGATAGCAGGCATGACAGTCTGGAGAAAAACAACAACACACGGCACAATGAGATAAAGTTAGCGACTAGCAGAAAAGTTCAAACATTCATTCACTGCAGAAAATTATTTTCTTACTTGGAGTTTACGCCTTATTCCTAGTATCAAAAAGTTCTTAAAATCAAGAAGCATTTTCCAAGCAAACTCTAGTGAATATACTGACACTGGGGAGTAGAAACTGTTGAATGAAGTTATTTTGGTTTTATGTGCGCACACACGTCTGTATGAAGACATATGGTCAGTTTTGAGGATGTCTTTTTGGTATTTTTCTGGATTTTAAACAAGTCTGGTCAATTGCGGTCTATAGAGGATGAGGGAGCTCTGATTTCATCTAAAACATCTTAGTTTGCATTCCAAAGATAAGCATAATTAATAACTATTTTCATTTTTGGGTGAACTGACCCTTTAAAATGATATAAATCCACAATTAAATTTAAAAAAGTGCAAAAAAAAGAAAAAAAAGAGCATAAATACTAGGGGTGTAACGGCTCACGGTTGATCTGTGATTCGTACGGATCACAACCCAAGGTTTGGAACTCATGTGACACGTGGATTAATACATTTACATACTAAATGTGTAACGATTGAAGAGAGATCGCCTCTTGCGTCGTTTAATTCACATGTACAAGCATTTAGGCTTTCCTGTAAAATATAAAGACGACGGAAGATGTTGTGGTAGGTTATTGGGGATGTGGTGGGCTTCTTAGGTTATTAAAGGTGTTTTCAGTCACTACTAGTTTAGCCTGCATTAATGCATTCAGTGTAAGCTGCAAGATTAATCATAAAAAGATCGGGATCTCAACACCCACGCAACATCCATTATAAATGATGGTGATAATTTGCATGGTTATTAATCCTAAAAGATTCTTTAGTCTTTTGAGTTATTTATACAGTTACAGTTAAATAACACAGCAGTACTGGCAAAACAGTTTATAGTTTAGATCAGTGGTTCTCAAAGTGGGGGTCGGGACCTCTTTGGGGGGTGGGGGGGGGGGGGGTCGCGGGACAATGACAAGGGGTTGCTTAGTGATTTCCAAAACTTAAATAATTTTTATTAAACTATTACAATTTACCATATTTTATTCATAACCCACAGAAGATAGATAATAGTTACGTTAAAGACACATCAACAACAACATACAAACAAAAATCAGCCACCAGCCTTTACTTTTTTATATTAAAATTAAATGATATTAATAAATGACTATAAAAAACATTATACAGTTATTGGACTGTTGCATTTTTGTAGTGTCAATATGCTCATGTTTATATATGCCTATAGTTGTTTGTGCAACGTTTGTATATTTACAGTAGAACAACCTTGAAAATTGGGGGTCGCAAGTCACTGACATTATTATTTTGGGGGTCGCGGGCTGAAAAGTATGGGAACCCCTGGTTTAGATAAAACCATTGATGTTTATGGCAAAGATTAAAATCACCATCATATGCATTTAACTTGACGCTCAAAAATGAAAGTTGTAGGCAGCAATTACATTTAACCAAAAATATGTCACTGAATAATTCTTTAATGATCATCCAACAATGAAACAGGAAGATTTATGAGTGAAGAACTGAATCTTTTATTAAAAATGAGACTAAAAATGAATGTGGGTTGTGCAAATTATAATGTTGGACTTCTACATTTAGCGTTAACAGTAGCAGTAACAATGAATTTTTTCACACTACTGAATATTTTACTATTTATTTTAATTCAGCTGATTATTTCTTTATTTTATTTTTAATAAAATTACAGCTTCTAAATTCTGTTTGTTAAAACCAAAAGTGCCTTGCAGTGCTGTTTCTGCAATAAATAGAAAGTTAATGACATTTGTTTCCTTCATTTTTTTTTTTTTGATCGGCCAGTAAGGGGTCCAATCCGTGACTCAAAAACCATAATGTGATCCGAACCGTGAGATGTGATCCGTTACACTACTAATAAATAATGCATGATTGCATAAACGAAAAGGCACAAAAAAAACCCACAAAAGCACAAATATAGGAAACATAGGGTGCTTTCACACCTGCCTTGTTTAGTTCGGTTGAATCGCACTAGAGTTTGTTTTTCCTCTTGGTGCGGTTCGTTTGGGCAGGTGTGAATGCAGCAATCGTACTCGAGTGCGCACCAAAAGCGGACCAAAAAGCGTACAGAGACCTGCTTGAAGAGGTGGTCTCGGTACACTTTTAAACAAACCCTGGAGCGGTGCGATGGGCTGTGCATTATGGAATGTGGAGGAAGAATATTTGTTGACTGCGCATTACCAACAAAGAAAGAGAGAGAGATGGAAAAACATTACCTAATGAATCGTTTTTAATATTTCCGCAAGATGAGCATGTCCCAGTTTAGCTGAATTAATTCAAGCCTCCTCCTGAGGTGTCGAGCGATGCATTAAAACACTGTTTTCCAGCACATCCGCGCATCATTCTCAAAATGTATAGCTTGTCTAAAGCAGGGATACAATCAGCCAGCGCAGTCGTCCCTTCATAGTTAAAAGTGACATTTTGTGTCTGCCGGTTTGTTTACTTGCGGGAGTTCATTGGCATTGTCCCGCACGTGAATTCTGACCAATCAATAAGCACTTTGGGAAATGCGTTCAACAACATCTGTCCAATAAGAGATGTGGATTCTGTCAGATGACTGCATTTTGGTTCTTTTCAACTGGTTCGGACCAAAGCCAGCAGTGTGGTGTGAAAACGACCCAAAGACGGCAGAAAATGCAACAATGTATCATTTATTACCCTTGGTCCGGACCAAATGAAGCGATTTGATTGAAGCATACAGGTGTAGCTTAAGAAATAGACAAACGCATAAATAAACAATCCCCTAAAAATGCACTAAATATGCATGTCTGTATAAAGAGCGGTTCACATATGGGATCAAAACCACGTGGTGGTAAAAGAAGGTGCGTCACTTCCTTCACCAATTTCAACACGCTTCTGAGCTTGTGCGACTGTGGGATTCATTGTTGCTGAACAACCATTAGTTTTCTATTTGGATTCAGCTCAGGAGACTGGATGGGCCATTATAGAAGCTTGACTTTCTTTCTCTGAAAGCATCTGAGAGTCTTCTTGGCTGTGTTGTGGATCATTGCCTTGCTGAAATGTCCACCCTGGGTTCATCTTCATCCTTCTACGAATGCAGATGTTGGACTTAAGCAGCTGATGTTCATTTACACTGAGGAAGGGCAGAGGGTTGCTGAAGAGCTACTGAGAGATTTCAGCTGCTGTCTGGGCCTTCCATGCCTTTTACACATTCCATTCTTCATGTGTTCAATACATCTTCCCTGCGTCATTTCATTTTATTACACAGAACTTCATTTGTAAACTAATTAGATTTGTTTTTCTTTGTATGTATGGATTACACTGGCTGATACTGATATATGGTAAGAACTTCAAGCCAACAGCACGTTTAGAAATATGTTTTCTGAGAAAACTGGCGACGTGTTCAATACTTATTTTTACCCGCTATAAACTGATGTCATTAAAGAGTTATTATTATCTGTCTGACCAAAAATACACCAATTAAAACAACAACAAAAAAAGTGTAACTACATATGTGCACAAATAAACTGATACATATACAAGTGCATGCATGGCTGCGTAAATAGACAGCAAACGTATAAATAAATGCCCAAATAATGCAAAAGAAAATAAATTATTGACTGCATAAACACAAGCATGGTTAACAATAAAAAAGGAAAAAAATACAAATAATTGAATGAAAAAATTTAGTAATTTATAATCCTTTGTGAAAGGTTAAAGGGTAAGAGGAATCACGCTGACCTTCACAGCGCAGGCACTTGTTGAGCTCGTAGGGGAAGATGATGTCCTTGTCGTTTCCACAGAACTCACAGATGAAGCCCTTAGCCTGACAGAGCTGTGGAGAGGAGCACACATGAATGATCCAGCTGATGATGTCAGTGCGGGTGTGTGTGCGTGTTGCTGCGAGTCTTACCATGCAGTGTGTGACGTGTGTGGAGCCGAGGCGCAGCAGGTGTCGCAGCTGTGGAGTCAAGCTGCCGCTGCGAACGGCATTCAGGTCACTGAGAGAGAAGAGCTGCATGTCTTCAGTTAGATGACCCGGGAGGAGAGAGTCAAACTCTTCCAGAACACTGCCAACACACACAAACAAAGATTAGTTGAAGGTTTGTCATTTATGCGTGCATCTATGTATTTATGCATACATTTAATCACAAAAGTATTGATTAATTTAGGCATGCATTTATTTGATTGTGTCCATGTATGTATTTATGCAATATTTATTCATGTCTGCATGCATTTATTAGGTATTTATGCATGCACTGATCTATTTACTCATGCATTTATCAATTTGTTTAATCCTGGCTGAAGCAGAAAGACACTCACTCTTTAGCCAGACGACACGTCTTCAAGAGGTTCTTCATCAGGTTTAACTGCTCTCTGAGCGCCTGAAACACAACAAGGACATTCTCATACTGACTGACATGATAAGATTCACAAATAAATAGTAATCTTATTAATACTCCAAAGAACATAATATAAAAATTGCCACTTTAAAAAACATATAAACATAAAATAATGTCACTTCTGATCAATTTAGGTGCATTCTTGGTAAATAAACTGACCCTTAAATGTACTGATTAAAGGCTGATTTAACTTCAGAAGGTATTTTGTTAGATAAGCTCCAGATTTGGCTTCAGTACTGACTAATCTAATGTATATGCATAAACATAATATTGTAGAGCTTCCTATTAAACAGATTTGTGAGGGGTGTACTTATATATGCTGAGCACTGTATATATGTATATATATATATATATATATATATATATATATATATATATATATATATATATATATATATATATATATATGTGTGTGTATGTATGTATGTATGTATGTATGTATGTATGTATATATATATATATATATATATATATATATATATATACATACATACATATATACATATATACACACACACACAGTTAAGCTATACACATACATACATACATACATACATATATATATATATATATATATATATATATATATATATATATATATATATATATATATATATGTGTGTGTGTATGTGTGTATGTATGTATGTATGTATGTATGTATATATATATATATATATATATATATATATATATATATATATATATATATATACACACACACACATATATATATACACATATATACATACACACACACACACACACACACACACAGTTAAGCTATACACATACATACATACATACATACATCCATACATACAGGGTGGGCATTTATATGGATACACCTTAATAAAATGGGAAAGAGCAGTTTTTAACGTCAAAAAATGAATGGAAGTGAATGAGACCGGAAGTCTCAATATAACGAGTTCTCTTGTATTTCCTGCATGACCTGATGAAGACCATGTAGGTTGACACGTTAAGTAAATTTGTCTTTTGAGAACTAAAGTGGCAGTGTGCCGATTTTTTGTACTTTTTCTATTATGTTTGGCTTGATGGAGCATGTGCCTTCAGTGATTTCCAAGATGTCCACACATTGACGTTTTCACGCAATATCTACTGTCCTATCATAATAAAGGTAAAACTGAGAAAATAAAAATGAATAAATTGTGGGCGACGTAGTGACACAGTAGATAGTGCTGTCGCCTCACAGCAAGAAGGTCGCTGGTTCGAGCCTTGGCTCAGTAGGCGTTTCTGTGTGGAGTTTGCATGTTCTCCCTGCGTTCGCGTGGGTTTCCACCACAGTCCAAAGACATGCGGTACAGGTGAATTGGGTAGACTAAATTGTCCGTAGTGTAAGAGTGTGTGTGTGGATGAGTTTGTGTGGATTTTTCCCAGAGATGGGTTGCGGCTGGAAGGGCATCCGCTGCATAAAAACGTGCTGGATAAGTTGGCGGTTCATTCCGCTGTGGCGACCCCGGATTAATAAGGGGACTAAGCCGACAAGAAAATGAATGAATGAATGAATTGTGACTTACGCGCACTGTGTCGAGGGCCTTGACCTTCTTGTAGAGCGCGCTGTTGATGTCGCTGAGGTTGAACAGCGGGTCTCCGGAGATCTTGGCCAGCAGGTCTCTGGAGAAGTTGCTGACGTAGCTCTTGCTGAAGTCCCACTTGCGGATGATCTTGGCCGGGATCACCGACTGAGCGTTTTCGTGACAGCACTGGCAGAAGTAGCGGCCCAGATACTCACAGTAGCGCAGACGCTTCATGTAGTCTAAACACACACACACACACAGAGTCAGTTTCATCATGGCCGATTTCAGAAAAAGGTTAGTGCTGGCCGATTAATCGAAGGTAATTGTCATTGTCAGTAAAGCTGGTTTTAGTCAAATCTCCCACATGTGCTTTCAGATGGTGCAGCATTTACTAGACTCGAGTCGTTCTCCAAGCTACGAAACATTGTTCAAACTAGAAGCCAATTTAATTGAAATGGAGATGATCATAACGGTTTAATGTTTGCGGAGCTTGCTCTGCGGCTCTGTGTAGTAAATGCTGCTACAACTGAAAGCAAGTGAAAATACCACATTTAATAGCATGTTTTAACTCCAATCTCACTTTACAACTTCAGTCGAGAGTCTGAAATAAATCCTTCAGTGAGATGACTTGAGTTGTCGTGTGATTATAAGTCACCCTGAATCAATGACAGCTGTTAATCTTCAGTTTATAATGAAACCCTATGTGGATTTCCTGGCTTTCTTCTTTATGGGTGTTTAAAGATTTCATGTGAGAGCACTGTCTGCCCTTCAGCACAGATTTATTACTGATTACACAACCGTGCTTCGCTGACAAGATGTGCATCACAATTACATCAATCGAAAATGTGATTAAGCAAAGCTGGAACTGTCTAGCTTTGCTTAATCACATTTCCGATTGATTCAATTAATTTAATTTAATTAAATTTATTGATTCTGGGCAGATTGAGAGCACATTTCAAAAAGCTTCTCTAATGCTGTGTTCACAACAGATGCGGCACAGGTGATTAAAGGCACAATGCATGAACATTGACTTTACTCCATTCATTCATGCATCAAATTTACTTTATTAGCGTGTCAAATGCGCTTCATTTGCGTGTCAAATTAGATTCACTCGTGTGTTGAATTCGATTCACTCGCACATCAAATTTGAATAATTCGCGCTTCAAATTTCTTCATTTGTGCATCAAATTTGCTTTATTCTCACGTCTAATTCACACATCAAACTCGCTTTATTCACGGATCGAATTTGCTTCATTCTCGCGTCAAATTTGCTTCATTCGTGCGTCAAATTAGATTAACTCATGTGTCAAATTCGATTAATTCATGCTTCAAATTTGATTAATTCGCGCATCAAATTTGCTTTATTCTCGCGTCTAATTCACGTCAAACTCACTTCATTCACGCGTCGAATTTGCTTCATTCTCGAATCAAATTCACTTTATTCGTGCATCAAATTTGCTTCATTTGCGCGACAAATTTGCTTCATTCTCGCGTCAAATTCGCTTTATTCGTGTGCGAAAATAGATTCACTTGTGTGTCAAATTCAATTCATTCATACTTCAAATTTGATTAATTCACGCTTCAAATTTAATTCATTTGCGCGTCAAATTTGCCTAATTCTCATGTCTAATTTACACATCAAACTCGCTTCTTTCACACATCGAATTTGCTTCATTCACGCGTCAAATTCGCATAATTGGCACGTCGAATTAGTTTCATAGGCGCATCTAATTTGCTTCATTCGCACGTCAAATTCGCTTCATTCGTACACCAATTTTTCTTTATTTTTGTGCCAATTTAGCTCATTTTATGAGTCAACTTTGCTCAATTTTTGCATCAAATTTGCGCATCACATTTGCTTCACAATAGATGTGGATTCGCATCATGGGTGGGGCTTTTATCTGCCTGGTGTCTCTATCTTTGTTGCTAAATGGCTAACGGGGATTTTATTGAGAGAGTAGCTGTGTTTATGTGCATTAGGAAGACTGAAAAACTGCTTATACTTGTTCGGCACCCAGCTCTGTAAGTTCATCAACTCGTCCAGAAAATATACGTGGATGATGGACGCTTTCAGAGCCGAGCACAGTTTGAGGAGCAGTTGTTGGTGTCGGAGAGAGTAATAAGACTCACACCTTCAATTAGCTAGGAATTTTTCATTGCCTTTTCAAGTTTATTCATTGCCACGTTAACAACCTCTGGCTTTTCAAACTAACAAGTAACTAACCACATTTATAAATTACTATTTAAAAAATCTCCATAAATGTTACCATCTAGTTACATGTGTGCTGTGTACCTTGTTCGATGCGAATGCCGCAGCCTGCGCAGCGGTAGTTCTGTTTTGCGATTACCACTTTCCTCCTGTCCATAGAGAGAGGTATGAGTTATGGAATCATGTAATAAAGGAAGTGAATGCGAATAGGAATATAGGTGGTGATGAACTCACTTTGGTGGAGGGTGAATGTTGAAGATGATCTGCGGTCGAGGAGGAGCCCACTCTAGATTTCCTCGCACTCGGATGCGCAATTTGTAAATGTCTGCATGTTCGCCATCATCAGGGGAAATTGGAAGAGAGTCTGGTATGGGAAGAAGCTTTATAAAAAAAAATTATAAATTAATAAAAAAAATAATTAATTGGCAGAAATGTACACTTTGCTGAATTAAAATGTGTTTAATGCGGCTCAGAGGTGGCATGAATGCATTTACACACTGTTTAATGCGGCTCAGATGTGGCATGAATGCATTTACACACTGTTTAATGTGGCTCAGAGGTGAAATGAATGCATTTACAGACTGTTTAATGTGGCTCTGAGGTGGCATGAATGCATTTACACACTGTTTAATGTGGCTCAGAGGTGGCATGAATGCATTTACACACTGTTTAATGCGGCTCAGAGGTGGCATGAATGCATTTACACACTGTTTAATGCAGCTCAGAGTTGGCATGAATGCATTTACACACTGTTTAATGCGGCTCAGAGGTGGCATGAATGCATTTACACACTGTTTAATACAGCTCAGAGGTGGCATGAATGCATTTACACACTGTTTAATGCGGCTCAGAGGTGACATGAATGCATTTACACACTGTTTAATGCGGCTCTGAGGTGGCATTAATGGATTTACACACTGTTTAATGCGGCTCTGAGGTGGCATGAATGCATTTAGACTGTTAAATGTGGCTCAGAGGTGGCATGAATGCATTTACACACTGTTTAATGCGGCTCAGAGGTGGCATGAATGCATTTACAGACTGTTAAATGTGGCTCAGAGGTGGCATGAATGCATTTACACACTGTTTAATGCGGCTCTGAGGTGGCATGAATGCATTTACACACTGTTTAATGCGGCTCAGAGGTGGCATGAATGCATTTACACACTGTTTAATGCGGCTCAGAGGTGGCATGAATGCATTTACACACTGTTTAATACGGCTCAGAGGTGGCATGAATGCATTTACACACTGTTTAATGCGGCTCAGAGATGGCATGAATGCATTTACACACTATTTAATGCAGCTCAGAAATGGCATGAATGCATTTACACACTGTTTAATGCGGCTCTGAGGTGGCATTAATGCATTTACACACTGTTTAATACGGCTCAGAGATGGCATGAATGCATTTACACACTATTTAATGCAGCTCAGAAATGGCATGAATGCATTTACACACTGTTTAATGCGGCTCTGAGGTGGCATTAATGCATTTACACACTGTTTAATACGGCTCAGAGGTGGCATGAATGCATTTACACACTGTTTAATACGGCTCAGAGGTGGCATGAATACATTTACACACTGTTTAATACGGCTCAGAGGTGGCATGAATGCATTTACACACTGTTTAATGCGGCTCTGAGGTGGCATTAATGCATTTACACACTGTTTAATGCGGCTCTGAGGTGGCATTAATGCATTTGCACACTGTTTAATGCGGCTCTGAGGTGGCATGAATGCATTTACAGACTGTTAAATGTGGCTCAGAGGTGGCATGAATGCATTTACACACTGTTTAATGCGGCTCAGAGGTGGCATGAATGCATTTACACACTGTTTAATGCGGCTCTGAGGTGGCATGAATGCATTTACACACTGTTTAATGCGGCTCAGAGGTGGCATTAATGCATTTACACACTGTTTAATGCAGCTCAGAAATGGCATGAATGCATTTACACACTGTTTAATGCAGCTCAGAGGTGGCATGAATGCATTTACACACTGTTTAATTCAGCTCAGAGGTGGCATGAATGCATTTACACACTGTTTAATGCGGCTCAGAGGTGGCATGAATGCATTTACACACTGTTTAATTCAGCTCAGAGGTGCCATGAACGCATTTACACACTGTTTAATTCAGCTCAGACATGAATGTATATACAGTGCATGAAAAAGTCTGTGTAAATATATTCACGACACCCTGAGATGCATTAAAAGGTTTGTATAAATGCATTTATATAACATTTCCGGAACAAAAATGTAACTTCAGGTACCTTTTGAGGGGCGTCATGTTCTGGAACCAGCCAGTCGAGCTCAGAGGCGGCAGGCAGCTGCATGCCCTCAAACTGCCTAAGAAGACCCATCGCCACCGATTCGGCAGAGTTGGATTGTAGCATGGACGGAGAGCTGTAAGAAGAAATGTTCCAATATCACTTTGTGTCATTAAAGAAACTGTGCAAACTACAAATATAATAAATCATAATTCACAGTGCACTTTAATAAACAGTTCATCCAAAAACCACATTTAGTAAATCATCTACATCAGTGTTTCTCAACCATGTTCCTGGAGGACCACCAGCTCTGCACATTTTCCAGGTCTCCTTAACCAAACGCACCTGATTCAGATCATCAGCTCATTAGCAGAGACTGAAAGACTTGTAATGGGTGGAAGCATCCAAAACATGCAGTGCAGAAACACTGATCGCCATCATGTGGGTGAGTAAATAACCAGGACATGCTAATATTTGGGTTGTGTTGGGAAATGTTCTTACATGGACTCAGAGCTGAGGAAGGATCTGCTGCTGGACGCACTGCGCTTAATATCTGCATCTGAGAATATGAGAAGAATTAGTTAATACTTACAATAACAGCTAAAAAAAGAAAGCATATTTTCCTTTTTATGTGATTAAGCAGGTAATGCATGCTTGATATTTCAATAGTTATTGTCCCTTAAATATTTGTAATAAATTTACTTATTCTAGTTTTATTTTATAGTATGATAAGTTTTATATATCACAAGTCTATTTTATATATTATATAGTATAGTATTAGTATGACAATAAGTCAGTTATATAATAAAAAGACTTATAATATTTAAAACTATTCACCCAAACACATTTACGACAGACAGAGACAGATGGATAGATGGATGGATGGACAAACAGATAGACCGATAGACAGATAGATAAATTCAGTCTCAATGCATGGATGAATGGATGGATGAATGGATAGATTCAGTTTTGATAGGTAGACAGACAGACAGACAGACAGACAGACAGACAGACAGACAGACAGACAGACAGACAGACAGACAGACAGACAGACAGACAGGTAGGTAGGTAGGTAGGTAGGTAGACAGACAGACAGACAGACAGACAGACAGACAGACAGACAGACAGACAGACAGACAGACAGACAGACAGACAGATAGATAGACAGACAGATAGATAGATAGATAGATAGATAGATAGATAGATAGATAGATAGATAGATAGATAGATTCAGTTTCGATGGAGGGATAGACGGATGGTTGGATGGATGGATGGATGAATGGATGGATGGATGATAGACGGACAGACAGACAGACAGACAGACAGACAGATAGACAGATAGATAGATAGATAGATAGATAGATAGATAGATAGATAGATAGATAGATAGATAGATAGATAGATAGATAGATAGATAGATAGATAGATAGATAGATTCAGTTTCAATGGATGGATAGACGGATGGGTGGGTGGATGTATGGATGGATGTATGGATGGATAGATGGACGGACAGACGGACAGACAGACGAACAGACAGACAGACAGATAGACAGATAGACAGATAGACAGACATATAGATAGATAGATAGATAGATAGATAGATAGATAGATAGATAGATAGATAGATAGATAGATAGATAGATAGATAGAAAGATAGAAAGAAAGAAAGACAGACATAAAATAGATAGATAGACAGACAGACAGACAGACAGACAGACAGACAGACAGACCGACCGACAGACCGACCGACAGACAGACAGACAGACAGACAGACAGACAGACAGACAGATAGATAGATAGATAGATAGATAGATAGATAGATATAAAAATAGACAGACAGACAGACAGAGAGACAGACAGACAGACAGATAGACAGATAGATAGATAGATAGATAGATAGATAGATAGATAGATAGATAGATAGATAGATAGATAGATAGATAGATAGATAGATAGATAGATAGATAGATAGATAGATAGATAGATAGATAGATAGATTCAGTTTCGATGGAGGGATAGACGGATGGTTGGATGGATGGATGGATGAATGGATGGATGGATGATAGACTGATAGACAGACAGACAGACAGACAGACAGACAGACAGACAGACAGACAAACCGACCGACCGACCGACCGACCGACCGACCGACCGACCGACCGACCGACCGACCGACCGACAGACAGACAGACAGACAGACAGACAGACAGACAGACAGACAGACAGACAGACAGACAGACAGACAGACAGACAGACAGACAGACAGACAGACAGACAGACAGATAGATAGATAGATAGATAGATAGATAGATAGATAGATAGATAGATAGATAGATAGATAGATAGATAGATATAAAAATAGACAGACAGACAGACAGACAGACAGACAGACAGACAGACAGACAGACAGACAGACAGACAGACAGACAGACAGACAGACAGATAGATAGATAGATAGATAGATAGATAGATAGATAGATAGATATAAAAATAGACAGACAGACAGACAGACAGACAGACAGACAGACAGACAGACAGACAGACAGACAGACAGACAGACAGACAGACAGATAGATAGATAGATAGATAGATAGATAGATAGATAGATAGATAGATAGATAGATAGATAGATAGATAGATAGATAGATATTCAGATTCAACACAGACAGCAAAACATGATTTAACTAAGCAAAAGTTTGAGTCTCCACTTCCCAAATGCCCTGTATCATAAGATTATGTAACCAAATGATCTCCCAATAACCATAAGACAAAGAGCGGATTCATTGGCCATGAAATAAAGCGTTCACATAAGAAAGCTTGATTAATATTAGGCAACATGATTGTGTAATCTCAAATGCTTGTGCGACACACCTATTACAATGTGGAAGCAGTGCTAAAGGTTGCAGATTTATTAGTTAACACCACAAAGTAACACAGAAGAATGAAAGGCTTGTATGAGGTGGACAAACACACATGGGATGGAAGCATGCGAGGAGGAAAGCAGGAAGAGCCACGAGCTACTGCTACTCATCTGATGGTCGCCTTTTAGGGCCCTATGACTTCTGGATTGCGGAAAATGTGGACAGAATTATGGAATGTGTTCTTAAAATTCGATTAGAACACGGAACGTTGTCCATTTTATTTTTGAATGAAAGAACACAAGACAAAAATAGCGCCGGTCAGCTAATCAAACCACGATTATGATCTACAGCTTGTGAATATAAAACCGAAAGAGACAGCTGTTTACATCTGAAAACAAAATGATTAGCCATCCTATGCACTTTTACACATTTTTAAACGTCATAGTTTTAATTACTCATCTCTTTCTCCCAGGATTACAGTGAATTTCTTTCTGCTGGGTGTTTTCCAAGACACTAGTATTCAGCTTAAAGTGCAGCTGAAAGGCTTAACTAGGTTAATCAGGTATGTTAGGTTAATTAGGCAAGTTATTGCACAACAGCGGTTTGTTCTGTAGACAATCAATTTATTTATATATTTTTAATGCAGCCAAATATGCACATTATTATAGCATATTTATTGTGACACTGTACTCTATATAGTTACTGTTTTTACATCACCGTGAGGGGTAAGTTTAGGGTTGGGTAGGGGTAGACGTTAATAAAGTGCAATTAATGGGTTATTTAATAAATAATACTCTGTAAAGTTACTGTTTTTACATTACCGTGAGGGTTGGCGTAGGAATAGACGTTAATAAAATATAATTTAATGAGTTATTTAATAAATAATATGAATAATAATCTGTATAATCACTGTTTTACATTACCGTAAAGGTTGGAGTAGGGGTAGACGTTAATAAAATACAATTTAATGGGTTATTTAATAAATAATATGACTAATACTCTGTATAATCACGGTTATTACATAACTATGAGGGTTGGGGAAGGGGTAGACATTAATAAAATACAATTTAATGGGTTATTTAATAAATAATATGAATAATACTCTGTATAATCACTGTTTTACATTACCGTAAAGGTTGGAGTAGGGGTAGACATTAATAAAATACCATTTAATGGGTTATTTAATAAATAATATGACTAATAATCTGTATAATGACTGTTTTTACATTACTGTGAGGGTTAGGGTAGGGGTAGACGTTAATAAAGTACAATTTAATGGGTTATTTAATAAATAATATGATTAAGACGCAGTATAATCACTGTAATTACATAACTGTGAGGGTTGGGGAAGGGGTAGACATTAATATAATACAATTGCGCAGATTTCTGCAGATTTTTACGCCATTAGTAATTCTGTTTATTTACTTGAGTAAATGTGTAAATCTGAATTTATTCAGTTTTTATTCAGTAATTAATTAATTAATTACTTTTTCTATCATATATTAAGGTTTTAGTTATGATACTCCTCTGTATACTCCCAAAATAATTCAGCAGAAATCCGCAGATTTTTACCAAAATTTTCCACAGAAATAGCAAAAAGCGTCCGCAGATTCCGTCTGGCCCTGGTTATTTAATAAATAATATGAATAATACTCTGTATAATCACTGTTTTTCCATTACTGTGAGGGTTGGAACAGTGGTAGACATTAATAAAATACAATTAAAGGATAATTTAATAAATGATATGAATAGTACCTTGTATAATTACTGTTTTTACATGACTGTGAGGGTATGTTTACATTTGTAGTAGACATTAATAACATACAATTATTAGGTAATTGAATAAATAATATAAATAATTCCCGTTAACTTCCGGCCTTAGCTGTAAAATGTCTTTCATAGGGCCCTAACAGTCCATCAGTGCTGATCTGTAAACAAGAGTGTCTCTCTGGTACCTGAGAAGAGCGAGGCGAGAGACAGCGAGAGGCCGCTCTGGGACACCGCCAGCAGGGACTGACCATCACTGCCATCTGAGACACACAAACACTCACCGATGACCTCCTTATGAATCAAAATTCTGACTTTTACAGGGGAAAAGTGTTTCTCTACTTATTATTTGTTTAATAAATATATAAAAATACTATTAAAATGCTGACATTTAGTATCAAACATTACACTGGTTTCAAGCTGACTATCCACAGAGACTTTTCTGCTCTTTCCTGCTAAAAAAAAGCAAACAAATCAAAAGAAACTTGATTCATAATGAGCTGAATCAGTAAGCAATCTGTAATGAGATGAACACACATCTCATCGTGTGGCATTATGGTTAATGAAGGCGGCCGTGAGGATGATTTTTATGATCAGAAGCCAGAATGAAAGCTGATCAGAGATGGATGGTGTACCTCTGAGCTCGATGTCCTCCACTTCTCTATCAGAGCCCGAGTCTGACGGGTGAAAGGAATCCTGGGAGCTCCTTTGAGAGCCGCCACTGTCCACAGATTGGACTTCTGTGAGGGAAAGCATAAACCGCACATGTCAGTTTTCCCATCTCAACTTGCAGCCAAATGCGATCAGAAAATCTGGAGTCTTACGATTACTGGAGGCGGCGGCTGCTGGTTTGAGTCGTGTGCGTCGTATCTGCAGTCTGCGCAGCCGGATCTTCTGCTTGAGCTGCTGGATTTCAGAGTCGCTGTCGCCTTCTTCTTCCGCCTCCTCCGCTGGCCGGCGCATGTTGCACTTCATCAGCTCGATGGCGGCGATCAGAGACTCCGAGATGCTGAAGTGAGCGTTCTCCTAGGATATACATATCAGATATTAAAACATGCCCACACTTATTAACCCTTTTTCTGCACATGATGACTGGGTATAATGCTGCGTTTACACCAGACACGGAACGCGCGTCAAGCGCAAGTGATTTACATGTTAATTCAATGCAAACGCGCGAATAGACATCCTGCGGCGCGATACGCGCCAATGCCGCGGAGCGAATTACGTGAATTGCGCGGTGCGAATAGCGCGATACGCGCGAGGCGAATTGAGCGTTTGACGCGCTTAACAAGCATTTCGCACGAATCTCTCGAGTTTGAAAATCTGAACTGCAGCGGACATTCGCGCCGCGTTAACCAATCAGAAGCTTACTCTTGTGGGGGCGTGATTGTGACGTAGAACCTGTTGATGGTGTCCTGGGGCAAATCCTCCAGGCGACACCGACAACAAGTCATCAAACTGGGCTTGGCTCAGTCAGAGGCACCGCTGAAAGTCTCCATCATCCAGGTTCAGTTTCTAAAGGTGTTTATGAGCTCACAGAGCTGGATGCACCTCTGAAAGGATGCAGTGGACTCATACAGGACCCTAAATGTATCAACGCTGTTTTTCAGTCTCCATAAAGCACATAAACACTGTTATTTTCTTAATAAAATCTATGTTAGCCATTTAGCTATGAAGCTAGAGTCATCGGGCAGACAGAAGCCCTGCCCATCACGCGAATCCGGGTCTGTTCTGAAGTGAAATTGACACACGATTAAAGTGGATTTGACGGGCGAATGAAGCGGGGGTTGACGCACGAATGAAGCGAGTAAACTCAAATGTTCACGCGGCTATTTACGCGCGAATAGCGTTCCGCGTTTGGTGTGAACACAGCATAATAGTTCAGCCGCGAGTTACGTTGTTGTTTGGGAAACTCAGCCCAGGATGGTTGTTTTTTGCAGAATAAAGAAAACAGTACTCCGCTTTACGCCAGGCTGCTGATAATCCTGTCAGGATTTATAATTTATCAGGAGATAATGCTTAACTCCCTAATAATTACAAAATATTCATTTCGCTTGTAGTTTATATTTACCTCTCATGTAAATACCGTTAAGCGTGGTGTTTTACCCTGACATTAGTATGACAAGCATACCTGTGGTTAAAGCTCTTTCAAGTACACCATTTTGTTCCTACAGATTATTTTCTTTTTGCATTTCCCTACAGTACAGTTACAATTAAAATACAATTATAATATAGCTGCAGAAAGAAGTGGTTGGAGTTTTTGGGGTTATTCATGGTCTGCTAAAACTAGTTAGCTAATGATAAATTCTAATATTGGATGGATGAACAGTGGAGGAAATAACGTCACACTTCATTGTTTAACCAAAGTTACTCCCATTATTCACGTTAAGCCTTAAATTGATATATTGAGTGCAGAGAGTTTGTGCATGCCTTTTCCAGATCAGCGCAGCTGCCGAAGTCCTGCTCCGAGAGGTAGCTGATCAGACTCTGACCCTCAGATGGCCTGCGAAATAACCCGTCCGGGACGCTGGTGTACTGAGAGCCATCTGCAAAGATAAAGACAAGTGCTTATTTTATTATAACTATAAGATGGGTGCAACCGCAAATCAGAAAATGACAGTATGGAAGGCGCAAATAAAAAAAGAAAGTAGTGATTTTTAAAGTATTTCATTGCAGATGGGAGAAAGGGGGTACAAGTACTAGACTGGCATGCCTGCAGTCCCAACCTGTCTCCAATAGAAACAGCGGAATGAACCGCCAACTTATCCAGCATATGTTTTACGCATCGCATGCCCTTCCAGCTGCAACCAAGTACTGGCAAACACCCATACACTCACATTCACACACATACACTACGGACAATTTAGCTTACCCAATTCACCTATAGCGCATGTGTTTGGATTGTGGGGGAAACCGGAGCATCCACAGCAACATGCAAACTCCACACAGAAATGCCAACTGACCCAGCCAAGGCTCAAACTAGGGACCTTTTTGCTGTAAGTTGATCGTGCTGCCCACTGTGCCACCATGACGCCCATAAGACATCCAAATTGAAGAAATTATAAGTCCAAGTTACTCAAAAAGTGAAAAAAGGCCCTTTGAGTGCTTTGGACTTATAATTTCATTGTTTATCTTTATGAATGCCAGGTTTGAAGAGGACAGACACATTAACTACCCCTGAAGCACTTTATATTAGATTTAAATATCAGATATTAATTTTCTTTTCGGCCTAGTCCCTTTAATAATCTGGGGTCACCACAGCGGAATGAACCGCCAACTTGTCAGCATATGTTTTAAACAGCGGATGCCCTTCCAACTGCAACCCATCTTTGGGAAACACCCACACACACTCATACACTATGGAAAATTTAGCCTACGCAATTCACCTGTACTACCTACTGCGCCACAGTGTCGCCTGGATTCAGATATCCAAATTAATTTTCATTTAAAAATCTAACTACATTCGTGCAGATTAGAGTATTAACTGCATTTCTCTGAACAAATGATTAAATGTTAAGCGTCACATCACATGTTCACTCACTGGACTCCATATAAAGAGAACTGTTGGCGCTGCTGTCGCTGCTCTGCGGTGAAAATGGACCACAGCTCTTCGAACACGCCGTAGCTGCGACAGATTCTGTAAGGGAAACAAATATATGCATTACACACATTATACATATATAAGACTGAAGGACACTAACTCCTGTTTGAGAATTTGATCCATGAGGACAAACACTGATGAACGAAAATGTAAAATATACACAACATATGACGCTTGAGAGCAATTCCAGCATTATGGATGTGACTTCTGCAGTAAAAACTCAAAACATCAATTAAGAGAGGGTGTATACACTCACTGGCCACTTCATTAGGTACACCTTACTAGTACTGGGTTGGACCCTCTTTTGCCTTCAGAACTGCCTTATGCTTCACATCATAGATTCAACAAGTTAATGGAAACATTCCTGAGAGATTTTGCTCCATATTGACATGATAGCATCACGCAGTTGCTGCAGATTTGTCGGCTGCACATCCATGATGTGAATCTCATGTTCCACCACATCCCAAAGGTGCTCTATTGGATTGGGTTCTGGTGACTGTGGAGGTCATTTGAGTACAGTGAACTCATTGTCATGTTCAAGAAACCAGTCTGAGATGATTCACGCTTTATGACATGGCACATTATCCTGCTGGAAGTAGCCATCAGAAGATGAGTACACTGTGGTCATAAAGGGATGGACATGGTCAGCAATAATACTCAGGTAGGCTGTGGTGTTGACAATGCTCAATTGGTACAAATGGGTCCGAAGTGTGCCAAGAAAATATCCCGACACCATTACACCAACACCACCGGCCTGTACTGTTGATACAAGACAGGATGGATCCATGCTTTCATGTTGTTGATGTCAAATTCTGACCATCTAAATGTTGCAGCAGAAATGGAGACTCATCAGACCAGGCAACATTTCTCCAATCTTCTATTGTCCAGTTTTGGTGAGCCTGTGTGAATCGTAGCCTCAGTTTCCTGTTCTTAGCTGACAGGAGTGGCACCCGGTGTGGTCTTCTGCTGCTGTAGCCCATCCGCCTCAAGGTTGGACATGTTGTGTGTTCAGAGATGCTCTTCTGCAGATCTCGGTAGTATCGAGTACTTATTTGATTTACTGTTGCATTTCTATCAGCTGGAGCCAGTCTTGTATGTGAATGTTACCCCAAACCATGATTTTTCCTTCACCAAACTTGACTGATTTCAGTGAGAATAATGACTGGATGTGGGTTCCAGTAGGTCTTCTGCAGTATTGGTGATGATTGGGATGCAGTTCAACAGATGATTCATGGGAAAAATCCACCTTCTGCCACATTTCCTAATGATCAACTAGAAGTCAAGTTACTATTTGATGCTCTTACAACTTGATTGACGACAAGACTTTTGTCGGGTAGTGTGTAGAACAAAAATTATAGATTTTTTTATTTTACTTGACATTTCTGCAGTAATGAGAAAAAAAGCTTAGTTATAGATGTGACAGATGTAAAATTGGCACTTGTCTGACTCAAATATAATAGTTTGGAAACATTGACAGAGACATTTTTGAGTATTTTTACAGCAAAAAATGCAGAAACTATTCACTATTTTGGTGAACAGTTAATTTTTTTGTTGACATTTGCATGGAATTGCTCTTGAATGTTTCTAAATTAATAACAGAAAGTGGCAAAATAAATAAAAATGCAGGGTAAATCAAGTATTTAAGTACATTCCAGGCACAATTGTGAAAAACAAATAAACAAAAATGGCACAGTAGAGGAATGTTGTGTGTCAGCTTGAATGACTACAGCTGAGAAATCAAAAGTGGCAAAGGTGAATCATGCGAGGGTGACTAAAATAGAAAGAGTGGACAAGATGCTGCACCACAGCCCTGCGAACCTGCAACGGGGTCCTCGATAATAATGGTGATTTTCCTGTGACCCCCTCCTTCACACACACAGAGAAGAAAAACAGAAGTAGAGAGTTGAAGAAGAGGAAATGATCCACAGTAAGACCAAAGATGACAGAAGATTCGACTGCTAACAGCAAGGCCTGGAGATCATCCGTTAAAAAAACAATTAATTAATTAATTAACACAACTGGCTGTTTTATTAATGTATTACGACACTTGGGAAGCCATTTTGGAAGTATAACAAAGCTAATGACCATTTAAAATAGTTATGTTTTTGGTATGAAGTGAGTTTAGGTTCAAGTGAGTCACTAATAATAACAAATGTATTTGTAAATTAATAATTGTAGCGTATTTGACCGCTGCTCTCTTTATTTGCAAAACCAAATTTTGTTACTAAATAGTATTTATGTCATGCTATGCTGACGCATCAACTGACAATAGCTATAGCAACAATTATATTAACAACCACATAAACAGATAACAACTGAAAGCTACAACGATAACTATATTAGCATCCACACCGACAGACAGTAGCTATAACGATAAATATATTAGCATCCACACCAACAGACAGTAGCTATAAGTATAACTACATTAGCATCCACACCAACAGACAGTAGCTATAACGATAACTATATTAGCATCCACACCAACAGACAGTAGCTATAACTATAACTATATTAGCATCCACACCAACAGACAGTAGCTATAACGATAACTATATTAGCATCCACACCAACAGACAGTAGCTATAACTATAACTACATTAGCATCCACACCAACAGACAGTAGCTATAACGATAACTACATTAGCATCCACACCAACAGACAGCAGCTATAACGATAACTACATTAGCATCCACACCAACAGACAGCAGCTATAACTATAACTACATTAGCATCCACACCAACAGACAGCAGCTATAACTATAACTACATTAGCATCCACACCAACAGACAGTAGCTATAACGATAACTACATTAGCATCCACACCAACAGACAGCAGCTATAACGATAACTACATTAGCGTCCACACCAACAGACAGTAGCTATAACGATAACTGTATTAGCATCCACAACAACAAATGATAACTATAATGGTAGCTATATTAGCATCTACAACAACAGAAGAGAACTATATTAGCATTTACACAGACAGATGATAACTATAACAATAACTATATTAGCATGCGCAACAACAGACAATAACTAAAACGATAAACAATACCATTTTTCTGCTTCTGCATAACTCTTTGACGCTAAAATTCTGTATAAAACCCCTAGCTAATATTGTTATCATTATATTTAATAGGTATTGTTATATTTATTGTCTGTTGTTGCGGATGCTAATATAGTTATTATTACAGTTATCGTCTGTTGGTGTAAATGCTAATATAGTTATCATAATTATCGTCTGTTGTTGTGGTTATGCTTATATAGTTATCGTCTACGTGATCATACTTCTCCCTTCTCCTACAATTTCAGGGCAAATGTTTGACTAAAAAAAACAAAACTAGCAAAGTTAGTTAACTGAATAAATACAGTTAGGTTTGATTTCATGTGTACTTTAAAAATCTTGCTTCATTAATGGTCTCGCTTCTTATAGTTGGTTTTGGACGTGCTACTTGTACGCACCATTTTTCTGCTCCTGCGTGACTCTTGACGCTAATATTCTGTATAAATCCCCTAAGCTAACATTGTTATCATTATAGTTAATACAGTTATTGTTATATTTATCGTCTGTTGTAGTGGACGATAATATAGTTATTATTTGTTGGTGCGCATGCTAATGTAGTTATCGTCTGTTGTTGTAGATGCTGATAAAGTTATCGTTACAGTTATCGTCTGTCGGTTTGAATGCTTATATAGTTATCATAATAATTATGGTCTGTTGGTGTGGATGCTAATTTAGTTATCGTTATCGTTACAGTTATCGTTTATTGTTGTGGATGCTAATATAGTTATCATTATAATTATCTTCTATTGTTGTGAATGCTAATATAGTTATCATTATAATTATCGTCTATTGTTGTGGACACTAATATAATTATCGTTACAGTTATCTTCTGTCGGTTTTAAATCTTATATAGTTATCATAATAATTACGGTCTGTTGGTGTGGATGCTAATTTAGTTATCTTCTATTGTTGTGGATACTAATATAGTTATCGTTATAGTTATCGTCTGTCGGTTTGAATGCTTATATAGTTAACATAATAATTACGGTCTGTTGGTGTGGATGCTAATTTAGTTATCGTTATAGTTATCGTCTATTGTTGTGGATGCTAATATAGTTATCATTATAATTATCTTCTATTGTTGTGAATGCTAATATAGTTATCATTATAATTATCGTCTATTGTTGTGGACACTAATATAATTATCGTTACAGTTATCTTCTGTCGGTTTGAATGCTTATATAGTTATCATAATAATTACGGTCTGTTGGTGTGGATGCTAATTTAGTTATCATTATAGTTATTTTCTATTGTTGTGGATACTAATATAGTTATCGTTATAGTTATCGTCTGATGGTTTGAATGCTTATATAGTTAACATAATAATTACGGTCTGTTGGTGTGGATGCTAATTTAGTTATCATTATAGTTATCTTCTATTGTTGTGGATACTAATATAGTTATCGTTATAGTTATCGTCTGTCGGTTTGAATGCTTATATAGTTAACATAATAATTACGGTCTGTTGGTGTGGATGCTAATTTAGTTATCGTTATAGTTATCGTCTATTGTTGTGGATGCTAATATAGTTATCATTATAATTATCTTCTATTGTTGTGAATGCTAATATAGTTATCATTATAATTATCGTCTATTGTTGTGGATACTAATATAATTATCGTTACAGTTATCTTCTGTCGGTTTGAATGCTTATATAGTTATCATAATAATTACGTTCTGTTGGTGTGGATGCTAATGTAGTTATCGTCTATTGTAGTAAATGCTAATATATTATCTTTATCGTTTTAGTAATCATCTACCTGAACGAATTGTAAGTAACTAGCAAAGTTAGTTAACCGAATAAATACAGTTAGTTTTGACATCAAGTGTACTTTAAAAATCTTTCTTCATTAATAGTATCGCTTCTTATAGTTAGTTTTGGACGTGCTATTTGTACGCACCATTTTTCTGCTTCTGCGTGACTCCGGTGTCGGAAAGGGAGCGGATGTGTCCTCTTGAGCTCCGCCCTGTGGCTTTCTGAGCCTCTGAGAAAGAGCATCGTCGCTGTGGAGGTGGAGCCAACGGCGTATGGGCGTCGCCCCGAGTCCCCATGTGTTCACTGCTATGAACGGAGCTGGACGAGTCCCGCCGCTTCTGCTTCCCCAAGTTCCCAATAGCCAGATACTCTGGTCCGTCATCCAGATCCCCGTCCCCAAAATCCCGGCTCTCAGGAAGAACAGGTTCTGTAAAGGAGATTCCAGCGACCTGGTTTCCTCTACCCTGAGCACTGCTGGACGGAGCGACATCTTCAAGACAAAACAAAGACATGCTCTGTTGATTATTTCATTTCTCCACCACAAGCATTGCTAACAGCCCACCTTCCATCCCCAGTTTTCTCCCCCAATAGCGTACTGTGTGTGAACAAGGCAAGCATTTAGTGTGCTAATGGAGCTACAGAGCGGCCTGTTGTTCTCGCTGTGAAATCTGCTGACCTGAGCTGCTCTTGGACTGCGGGCTGTTGGAAATCTCTGTAAGGCAGCTCTGGGACGTGGTGAGCCTGTGCGACTGTGAGGCGTCCGCCGGCCTGCAGTGTCCTGGAGCTCCAGGCAGCAGACACAAACTCTGACTCTTCATCAGGCCCAGCGGAGACTCCTTCAAATGTGAAAGCTTGAAAAACACAAGAGACAGACAGCAGTGATACACCTGAGATACACCCTTTCTCAATTCTAATTTATACCCATAGAAACATCCCTCTACGAAATGGGACAGCACTACTACACATGCACACGTCATCATGTTGTCAGTAGCGCAGGTGGCGGATTGGTAGCACTGCGGAGTGAGTGTTTTAAACCACCTATAAGAAAGTTGAGCTTTAAATGCACTGCAAGAGTGTTGACGTCAATCTTTTATATAAAACCCCTAAGCTAATATTATTATACAATAATATATTATACAATATATATATTGCCCTAAGCTAAAATTGTTATACTTATAGCTATCTTTTGTTGTTGCGGATGCTAATATAGTTATCCTCTGTTGTTGCAGATGCTAATATAGTTATCCTCTGTTGTTGCAGATGCTAATATAATTATTATCTGTTGTTGCGAAAGCTAATATAGTTATCGTCTGTTGTTACACAAGCTAATATAGTTATCATAATAGTTATTATCTGTTGTTGCAGATGCTAATATAATTATTGTCTGTTGTTGCGCATGGTAATATAGTTATCTTTACAGTTATCATCTGACGGTGTGAATGCTAATATAGTTTTTTTTAAAGTTTTCATCTCTTGTTATGGATACTAATATATTTATCATCTGTTGTTGCGCATGCTAATATAGTTATTGTTACAGTTATCGTCTGTTGTTGCAGATGCTAATACAGTTATTATATGTTGTCGCACATGCTAATATAGCTATTGTTGTAGTTACCTTCTGTCAATGTAAATCCTAATATAGTTATTGTATGTTGTTTCGCATGCTAATATAGTTATTGTTACAGTTATCGTCTGTAGTTGCAGATGCAAATACAGTTATTGTATGTTGTCGCACATGCTAATATAGCTATTGTTGCAGTTACCATCTGTCAATGAAAATACTAATATAGTTATTGTATGTTGTTTCGCATGCTAATATAGTTATCGTTACAGTTATCGTCTGTCGGTGTGGATGCTAATATAGTTATCGCTATAGTTATCATCTGTTGGTGTAAATGCTAATATAGTTATCGCTATAGTTATTTTCTGTCGGTGCGGATGCTAATTTAGTTATCATAATTATTGTCTGTCGGTGTGGATGCTAATATAGTTATCGCTATAGTTATCGTCTTTCGGTGTGGATGCTAACATAGTTATCATAATTATTGTCTGTTGGTGTGGATGCTAATATAGCTATCATTATAGTTATCATCTGTTGTTGTGAATGCTAACACAGTTATCGTCTGTCGGTGTGGAAGCTAATATAGTTATCGCTATAGTTATTGTCTGTCAGCGTGGATGCTTATATAGTTATTGCTATAGTTATCGTCTGTCGTGTGGATGCTAATACAGTCATTGTTATCATCTGTCAATGTAAATGCTAATATAGTTATTGTATGTTGTTGCGCATGCTAATATAGTTAACGTTACAGTTATCGTCTGTCGGTGTGAATGCAAACATTGTTATCATTATACTTATCGTCTGTTGTTGTGAATGCTAATATAGGTATCGTTACAATTATCATCTGTCACTGTGGATGCTAATATAGTTATTGTTACGAACAAAAAAGATAGCAGCTAATTTATTCACACATGAAATGTTTTTACACAATATTGATGCATCTGAAAGCGCTCGCATTTAAGTGACACTCACAAAAGTGTGACATTATATCTATAATAAATAAGCTCAAAATATGATTTAACAAGCATCAAAAGTTGTCAATGAACACAATATCCAACAAAACACATCAGACCTTTTCCATTTAAAGCATGTTGTTTTGCTCAGAACATCTTTAGTTTCTTTATTTGACCATTTATTGATCTATTGTCAGCTCCCACTGATAGGACAGATGTTTATTTGAGAGCTGAATGAAGGTACAGCTTGTGCCAGACACTCAGCGAGATAATAGTCAAGTGCGGGAGATAATTTCCTAAAAAGACAAACACAAACACTGACAGTCTGAGACGAACATCTCACAGAACAGGTTTATACAAGGACCTGGTCTGAGGATTTTCCCAGCTTTCTCTGGACTTTGGCCTCTATAAATCCAAACAAATAAATCCCTGCAAGTGGAAACCATTGTTAGCTTTAGGTTTCATTGTTTACAAGTTTAATCAACATTGATTAGAGATCCCAGCTCAATCCGGGTTAGGTGCAGTAGGACCGGTGGGTTACACTTGGGGGCTCGTCCGGGATGAGAGTGAGGTTTAGAAGGGTGAGTGTAACCGAGGCCAGCTAGCCAAGTGCTATGCAGGTAAACCTCACTCCCCTGACCTCTAAAGATGCTCTAGCGACAGACACTAGAGGCCATGATCATTAGCCTCCTTGTTAGAGCAACCGACTCCCATGCAAAGAATCGCCGGTTCGATCTCAGCTCAGACTGTGTTGGGTGCAGTAGGACTGGTAGGTTACACTTGTGGGCTCGTCTGGAAAGGGATTAAGTTTTAGGATATTGAGTGTAATGGAAGCCAGCTAACAAAGTGCTATGTAGGTAAACCTCACACCTCTGACCTTCAAAGATGCTCTAGTGACAGACGCTAGAGGCCATGATCTTTAGACTCCTTGTTAGAGCAACCGACTCCCACACAAAGGATCGCCAGTTCGATCTCAGCCCAGACTGGGATGGGTTCAGAAGGACCTGTGGGTTACACTTGGGGGCTCGTCCGGGATGAGAGTGAGGTTTAGAAGGGTGAGTGTAACCGAGGCCAGCTAGTCAAGTGCTATGCAGGTAAACCTCACTCCTCTGACCTATAAAGATGCTCTAGCGACAGATGCTAGAGGCCATGATCATTAGCCTCCTTGTTAGAGCAACCGACTCCCATGCAAAGAATCGCTGGTTCGATCTCAGCTCAGACTGGGTTGGGTGCAGTAGTGGGTTAAACTTGAGGGCTCGTCCGGGATGGGAGTGAGGTTTAGGGGGGTCATCTACTTTGAACATGCAACAACTTTAATTATAAGGTAAACACAAAACAAAAGTGTTCATATGGAGCTCTTTCACGCGACTCCACAATTGTAAACACTCAGGTTTAGCACCTTAGCACCACCCCCACTCATCACCGCTACTAAGTCAGTCATTCACAGAGCTTGCGCTATGCATCGTTGTGACATGTAGTTAAATTTTTTAAGAGGAGCGCATTAGCGACGGCATCAGCCAAGGCGAGGGCTATGCGACTGCAGGAAGACGGACCTTGATGCAGAGGTATAAATCAAATTTAATTGTGGACATGGCTTAAGAGCAGTGTAAAGTTACTCACCCTGACGGTGTCGATGAGAGCCAGCATTCGAGGATTATTCTGCTCCACGGCCTCCAGACACTGGAACATTGCAGACACGTGTGGCTCGCTCAGCAGAAACGCTCCATCTACAGTAACCAAGAACGTGCTGTTATTCCTGCAGGCGTATAAGCGCCACCAACTGGTAGAGAGTGAATTGACACTCTTATTCAGCCAGTCTACAGTTATTTATTTACCATAACTTCACAAAGCTAACGTTAAACCATTACACTTGTACTTGTCATTTTGAAATTCTAGTTTATTTTTATTTAAATCATTTTAATTCTTTGAAATAAGGGCGATAATAAAATGTGAAATTGTATCGGAGTCAGCCGATTTTAAAATGAATCAGTAACAATAATCTGAAACCAAAATAAATCTAAAATAAATCTGATAATAATAATATAATAATAAATCTATGAATAAATCTAAAACCCATGTAAACTTATAACCAGAGCATCACTAGAATAGTGAACTATCCCATTAAGCCCGTCTACTGAGCTAAGCTGCAGACCCGCAGAACCACACACATTTCAGGCACACACAATCTAGGCAAACCATATATGGTAACTCACTAACTCCTTAGGAGCATTAACGCCACCTATTGATTTTCATAAATATGGTTTCCCCATTTCAGTCATTATACCATTATTATATCGTAACGATCATTTTAACATCTGTGCAGTTTCTGAACTCAAATTATGTGAATAAAAATGATTGGTTAAACACTTACGACTTTATTCACGTGTCCACAAATTATGTGTTACATTGGGAACACGCGGTTAACGAGTTCTCTCACTGGCTGCGTGTTCTAGTCTCTAGTCTATTTTAATGTGAGCACATGGCTTGTGTTGTCTTTTTGTGTCATGTGCTCTCCCGTCTATTGTCTAGTCCCACCCTCCTTGACATCCCATTATTACAGTGTTAATTTACTTCTGCTTATATTCTCCACATGTCTGCTGTCCAGTGCCAATTCGTCGTCGTTTGTATCCTTGTCCTGTCTGTCCAGCCTGATCCCTACCAGCCTGCCCAGGGAAGCTTGCGTGTGTTTTTTGTTAATGTTTTCACCTTTGGGGTAGTTTGTTTTGCCTTTCATTTTAATTTTAATTTTAATATTAATAAATAACCATGATTTACTGCACCCGAGTCCTCGCTCCTTTTCCCCTTTACCAGGGGTGTCCAAACTCGGTCCCGGAGGGCCGGTGTCCTGCAGATTTTAGCTCCAACTTGTCTCAACACACCTGCAAGGATGTTTCTAGAAAGCCTAGAAAGAGCTTGATTAGCTAGCCATGGTTTGTCTGATTGGGGTTGGAACTAAGCTTTGCAGTACACCGGCCCTCCAGGATCGAGTTTGGATATGCCTGCCCTACACTAACTGTGACGATCTTAACTGATTATATTTAAACTACTATCTTTTACTAAACTGTAGCAACTGTTAGTAATATATATAAAGTTAGTAAAAATATATTGATGACGATGTCCGAGAAGACGTAAATAACATTAATATCCGTTGTTACCATATAAGGTTTGCCTAGATCGTGTGTGCTGGATTGTGCGTTCCTGAAACGTGTGTGGTTCTGCGGGCCTGCAGCTAGATATTATTGCGTCTGCTTGCACACTGTGATTGTCGTGTGGTGATACCGTTGTAATACTTCTGCGTGTTCATCTTGTGTTGCAGCAGAGGTTTGAGCTGCGCTGATAAGACGTGAGCTTGTAAACTGTGCAGAAGCCAGCGTTCAGCTTTATAACCCTCGCCGAAGCTCTGGACACTGCTGCTCAGCACCGGCTCCAGCTGGCTGAACTGCAGAGACACAGCAAAAATCAGCCAACAATGTCGGAAACATGACATGGCTGATGTGAAATGAGAAATACCTGCTCTACGTGACGGGCCAGATGAGGACAGAGATACCGCACACACCAGACGAATCGCCAGTAGTCCTTTTGTTTATAGTAAATCTGCAAAACAGAAAGCAGGGTTGGATTTTGCAACACATTCTAGTGATTTAGATTTTAAGGCCCCGTCCCAATTCTATTTTTGTAGCCCTTCCCCTTGGCCCTTGAAACAGAGTGCGAAGGGAAAGGGTTTTAAAATTTACCCCTAAGAATTAGGACAGCACTACAGCACCTGCACACATCATCATATGCACGGCTTTACATTAACACCAAATGCGGGTAGATTTCAGCTTTGGCGGGTTGGACAGCCGCTCCCACTAGCCACTTTGGCAGGTTGGAAATAATTTTTACATTGTAGTTTTCTTAAAGCAGAGTTCGACAATAATGATGGCCTAATATGCGTGCAAATGTGATCTTAGAATCGAGAAGCAGCACGACTGACAAAAATAACTGTGTTCGCGCAAGACATAGCAGGTGAATACCGTATGAGAGGATGATTACTCACGCGCACAGGTGATGTGATGCACGCGACTGTTAAAAAGCATGCACGCTCCCGTTTACTTGTTCTTTTTGAAAAAGACTAGACAAATGCTGGTTTACCCACAGTCCTGCTGCTTTTAAGATCTCAAGATTGAAAAATATACATATTTGTAAGCAACAGCAGCAGTCACTACTTTCATTTTAATTATTCTCAGGCACGTGATCCTCCTTTCATTATCACACATGGTATGCTTTTACTTGATTTCTTTTGCTTACAGTTATTTTTGTTGATATAGTTTAATTATCCACTTAAACTCTGCTGCTATTTGGGGATTTCCTGGATTTTGCCTACCCAAATTTAAAAGCTTCCCAAATCCACATGCACAGGTGTAAATGCAAAAAATTGGTACCATTTTAAAGAAAACCCTTTGAATTTTCATAAAACACTATTGAAAGTGTTTAAAATAACTGTATATGGTGTCTGTGTTATAATAAACACCTAAAAAAAGAGGCACTTTTTGTATTTTTTTTTTATAAACTCAAATTTGAAAGTGTACCTTTTAGGTTCTGTGTGGTCTAGCGTGCTGTATTTAATTTTGTTGATTCCTGCACATGTCTTTAATCATAAGAAAAAAGAAAAATGTCTCCACCATAATCTATGCAAAAGTTATCGCATTCCAACTGATGAGAGGTGCCGTACAAGCCAAAGAGATCGATCATTGTTTTCATATTTCATATTCTTTTGTTTGATCAAACATAATTGACTGTGTTTGGACCACATCAGACATATAAAAGGATTACTTATGCACATCACCTCAAAAACAGAGGAGAATGGCCCTGAAGGGCACAGGTAAGAGATGACAGCTGTCTGTGCTATCTGGGGCTGCTTATTGATCATGAATGTATTACATTTCTGCGCCATGGAAACACCACAATTCATTCGGCAACTGTTTGGCATATGAATATAATTCAGTAAAAAGAATGCTAGAACCGTCTGAGCACCGGCAAGAGCTTTCATTTGAGTTATAACTTGTACATGTGTCATATGAAAAAATATGAAAATGAACCAATGTAAAATAACTAGCTCGTGGTATCCAAAATACTGTGTATTTAAGTGTAAAAATCTTTTGAACAGTGGAATAAAAACCAAAGTGATGCATATGTGCATAAAATATAGATTCTACACTTTCAAACGACACCAGGTACGGGGGTCTGGTGCAACGCTAGCCCTTTAAATCTGAAAGCGAAAGTTGATGACGTCACGGACCCGGTACCGGGTCCGCAGAGTTTAAGTGGTTATAATCCTTTACAATAACATTGCTTTAATAGGAGATTAACTCCCCATTCATGTGTAGTAACTGCTGATCTGGGACCTTTAGCCAGGACAGATCACTGTGCATATTTTAGATGCATGACAATAGATATTTTTAAATGTTAATTTTCGAAAAAATTAAACGTTTTGTTGAATAAAAAGTGCATGTACACAGCTATAAATTTGCTTGTTTTGACACATTTAAATTCGTGGCTAAGAAATAATGATTTCTTTTTGGTGTGGTTAGAGATGAATTTGGTAAAACTTTTATTCTGAGCCCTAAAAAGCCATGTGAAATAAAAACCAACTGCAATGCGACACAACCCACTTGCTCATGCACAGTGAGCAAGCTCACATACACAACACACACAAACAGTGAAATAAATGAGGAGGCATGTGGACAACACATCTAAATCAAGTCATTTTAGCATGTCAAAGTCACATTTATTTATATAAAATATATTTCCCAAACAATAAAACTGTGGCTGGTGAAAATGGCAAGTGGCTAGTAATGTTGGAAATCTACTAGCCACAGTGGCTGGTGATCAAAAAAGTGAATGTAAAGCCCTGATCATATGTCATCACAATCTCTTCATATGAGATCAGATGCTGTAGGTAATCCAGTTGTGTTATTTTTTTAGTATTGATCTTCAGGAGATCACTGAAGGCATATATCATGGTATCATGACGATCTTATGTGGCAATAAGATCATAACTGTACTGTGCATTTAACCCAGTGGCCTTATTCATCAATGTAAACACATCAAAAACAGCATTAACATTACAGCAGACACTGTGAAAGCTCATTCCCAGCCACTAGACTTTTCTGACAGGGTATTCCAGGGTCATCGAGTGTCAGAATGTTGTGGGACTGCTGTACAGGAGTTATTATTATGGATTATAGATAGCCAAATTTAATGGATTTTAAACGAGGGCTAAGGGGTAGAATTGGGATTGGGCCTAAAAGTACATATGGTGACTGTTGATTGTCTATTTAAAACTAGACTGAAGACACCTCTCTTTGCATTAGCATACACATAAAACACAAATGCTGTTGACATGCAAATCCTCTAAAGGATTGTTAGGCTGCATTAATTAGGGCAACCGGAGCCGGGAACACTTCGCAAAAGACATTTTAATTTAATTTAATGTAATCGTAGGTTCACACCGAAAGCGATGAGAACGTCAAAGTAGCCGGAAGTCATTTGTTTTCAATGGGAGCCGGCGGCGATTTGCCTCGAGTATCAACGCGGCACATCTTCACCAGTGTGGGCGTCGAGAATAGTTAAAGTCAAGTCAGCTTTATGATAATGAGCTATGACACGGTTTGGCGGCAGGCAATCAGAAGGATGAAATCCGCTTGAGAGGGGCTCAGAGAACAGTCACTGTGAACTGGTTCCGACTACAGTGGTTCCCAAGGGCTTGCTTATTGCGGTCGCCAGATTTCCAACTATGTGCGATGTTTTCTTACAGGAACATACTTTTAAAAAGTTACTGGCGAGTTACTGACGTGCATTAATGTTATATTTTTTATTTCTTTAAAAAAGCGTTCTTATAACTAATGAACCTTATTGTAAAGTGTGATCAATAATACTTGTATTCGAGTGACAGCAGCTTGTCATCCTCTGAGAAAAACGGGTTCTCAACATACAAATTAAGATTTCAAAAAGCTGAACAAATATGTCATATGTATGTGCAATATATTTTAAAATGTATCGATTGTATAAATATGAATATGACTCTGCCTCGAACTGTGCAGTGCTGTAGCTGCTTAATTTGGCCAACGACGCTACTTTATTTTTAATACTGCTGATTTTGGTGGTACTTTTTTTGAGGTGGTACTTGGTGAAAACAGTTTGAGAACCGTTGATCTAGTCGAATATTATTTACTGTCATCATGGCTAAGATAAAATAAATCAGTTATTAGAAATAAGTTAATAAAACTATTATGTTTAGAAAAGTGTTTAAAAAAATCTTCTCTCCGATAAACAGAAATTGGGGGAAAAATTCAACAGGGGGGCTAATAATTCTGAATGTCTCTCTATTAAACATCCATTTGAAATATTTGGATAAGATTTAAAATGCTGCGAATGACTTTGCCCTTAACTGTAAACATATAAAAACTAGTGAGCACATCAAAGCTACATCAGCTCAATCAACAGGTTTCGTGGTTATAAACTACTACAAAACATTTCCTTGTTGGAAAAAGGCCATTTCTTATCAACCAGAACAACCAAACAACAGCAGTGAAAGCTCAGATCATCTTCCTGCTTGTCTGTGTGTATGTACAGTTGAAGTCAGAATGATTAGCCCCCCTGAATTTTTAGACCGCTTGTTTATTTTTTCCCCAATTTCTGTTTAACAGAGAGCAGATTTATACAACACATTTCTAATCATAATAGTTTTAATAACTCATCTCTAATAACTGATTTATTTTCTCTTTGCCATGATGACAGTAAATAATATTTTACTAGATATTTTTAAAGACACTTCTATACAGCTTAAAGTGACATTTAAAGGCTTAACTGGGTTAATTAGGTTAACTAGACAGACTAGGGTAATTAGGCAAGTTATTGTTTAACGATGGTTTGTTCTGTAGATTATTGAGAAAAAATATAGCTTTAAGGGGCTCATAATTTTGTCCCTAAAATGGTGTTTAAAAAAAATAATAACTGCTTTTATTCTAGTCGAAATAAAACAAACAAGACTTTCTTCAGAAGAAAAAATATTATCAGACATACTGTGAAAATGTCCTTGCTCTGTTAAACATCATTTGGAAAATATCTTAAAAAGAAGAAAAAAATTTGAAGGGGGCTAATAATTCTGACTTCAACTGTATGTGTATGTGTGTGTTTCTCAGACCTGTTCGTGTTTGAGTCCGTGGCCCAGGATGTTGTTCATGTCCTTGTGCAGGCGCTGAAGACCTCCATACCGGGACCACACGTTGGGGTTATTGGTGGACAGCAAGCCTTCGACCGTCGTCTTCAGATTATACAGAAGCTTCCAGAGCTCCCATCTGAACATCCACAAACACAATCATTAGTATGGCCTGTAGGCCTGGAAAAATCTAACATTTTCATTCATTCACTTTCTTTTCGGCTTAGTGCCTTTATTAATCTGGAGTCACCACAGTGGAATGAACCGCCAACTTGTCCAGAGGATGCCCTTTCTAGCTACAACCCATCACTGGGAAACACCCACAGACTCATTTCCACACATACACTACGGACAATTTAGTTCATCAATTCCCCTATAGAGCATTGTGTTTGGATTGTGAGGGAAACCGGAGCACCCGGAGGAAACCCAAGCCAACACGGGGAAAACATGCAAACTTCACACAGAAACGCCAACTGAGCCGAAGCTTGAACCAGCAACCATCTTTCAATGAGGCGACATGCATATATATAAATTATATATATATATATATATATATATAATTTATATTAACTTGTATGTTGAGAACCCGTTTTTCTCAGAGGATGACAAGCTGCTGTCACTCAAATACAAGTATTATTGATCACACTTTACAATAAGGTTCATTAGTTATAAGAACACTTTTTTTAAAGAAATAAAAAATATAACATTAATGCACATCAGTAACTCGCCAGTAACTTTTTAAAAGTATGTTCCTGTAAGAAAACATCGCACATAGTTGGAAATCTGGCAACTGCAATAAGCAAGCCCTTGGGAACCACTGTAGTCGGAACCAGTTCACAGTGACTGTTCTCTGAGCCCCTCTCAAGCGGATTTCATCCTTCTGATTGCTTGCCGCCAAACCGTGTCATAGCTCATTATCATAAAGCTGACTTGACTTTAACTATTCTCGACGCCCCCACTGGTGAAGACGTGGCACATTGATACTCGAGGCAAATCGCTGCCGGCTCCCATTGAAAACGAATGAATTCCGGCTACTTTGACGTTCTCATCGCTTTCGGTGTGAATCTACGATTACATTAAATTAAATTAAAATGTCTTTTGCGAAGTGTTCCCGGCTCGGGTTGCCCTAATTAATGCAGCCTAACAATCCTTTAGAGGATTTGCATGTCAACAGCATTTGTGTTTTATGTGCATGCTAATGCAAAGAGAGGTGTCTTCAGACTAGTTTTAAATAGACAATCAACAGTAAAATATATATATATATATATATATATATATATATATATATATATATATATATATATATATATATATATATAAAAAAATATATATATATATATATATATATATATATATATAAAAATATATATATATATATTAAACATATGCTGGATTAGTTGGCGGTTCATTCTGCTGTATCAACCCCGGATTAATAAAGGGACTAAGCCGAAAAAGAAAATGGATGAATGAATGAATGAATGAATGAATTACCTACAATAAAACCATAAACCTTCTCATTTATAGCATCATATATGATAATATATATGATTATATATATGATTATATATATATATATATATATATATATATATATATATATATATATATATATATATATATATATATATATATATATATTCTTTGTGCTAAAAATGAGACGGTTTATAGTTTTATTGTAGGTAATTCATTCATTCATTCATCCATTTTTTTCGGCTTAGTCCCCTTATTAATTCGGGTTTGCCACAGTGGAATGAACTGCCAACTTATCCAGCATATGTTTTACACAGCGGATGCCCTTCCAGCTGCAACCCATAACTGGGAAACATCCATACACACTCATTCACGCACATACACTATGGACAATTTAGTTTTATATCTTCTAAATGCGAATTTCGTCAGTTTTGGAGCACTCTAGCTTATAGATATCCTCAAGACTAACATAAAGATACTAACATATTTTTTTATTAAAAAAAAAAACATTATAACAATGTCAGAGGAAATTTTATACCAATTTATTTGAAATTAAGTGTCCATAAACATTCCATTCATTCAATGCTCAAGAATAATCGTTCATTTGTTAAAACATATTAAACATCATGACAACATTATATGTCATTTAAAAATATAATCGTGTACTTTCGTTTATCTCAAGGTTCATTTACAGGTCACCGTTACCTAAACACAGCTTTATGAGTCATCGTCATTGGTTAAAAACACGTTCCTTTAATAAGTGTCAGTTTGCAGAAGAGTCTTTGACGTAGTTTATAAAAAATGATCACCTTAAAATGAAATGTTGCGCTTCTCTCGGTTATTTAGCAGCTAAATGTGAGAAAACAACTGCTAGAACATACGACGCTGAAACATACTATGACGAGAGATCATCTCATTAATATTAATCGACTTCCGTGAGCGCCAACTCTTCTATTGGTTCATTCTCCACAGCCTACTAAGACCGTCCAATCAGAATACAGCAATGTGAAGCCAAACAACCCGTGACCTACTTAATATTCATGAGGAAGTCTTAGCCATAGTAGAACGTACAAATCCACTAGCCGGCTAGCTAAATATGATAAATATATCGACAACGGTCACACAAACAACATGATTATTACATATATAACAAGCAAACGTGTTCTAATATATATTTCGACGAGTATAAGCTTGTAAAATGAGATAATTAAGCATAATTATCCGCAAACGTGAAGCTGTCAAACTGTGAGCTGCTGTAGATGTGACTGTTTTAAGTGTGAGTTTGTTTGTACCTGCGCTCTCCATCCTCCTGCTCCTGTATCTCCATCTTGATCCTCAGGTAATGCAGGTTTAATTGGGGTTTGCTGTCAGAGAGAGTCCGGACAGGTGGAAGGTGTTTCCCGCACCATAACAAGAGCAGCGTGAAGGCGGAGATGAAGACTAGCCTTTACCGGATGAACATTCCTCGAATAGCGGAAGCAGGTGATGTTGCAGAATAAAAGCGCAACGCTGACGGATTTTATGATTTAAAAGCTTATATTTCTCTACTGAAAAAACAGCTTAAACCAGTCTAAACCCGTAGGCTGCTTTCAGCTGGTCGACCAGCCTGATTTTAGAAGGGTTTTGACCATCTCCAGGCTGATTTTCAGCCATTTACAGCCTGGACTTTGCTGGTCAGGCTGAAAAATGACCAGCTAAAACCAGCCTGACCAGCCTGGTTTAAGATAGACATAGCTGGTTTTGGCTAGTTTAAGCTGTTTTCTTTTCTTTTCGGCTTAGTCCCTTGATTAATCCGAGGTCGCCACAGTGGAATGAATTGTGAACTTATCCAGCATATGTTTTACACAGCAGATGCCCTTCCAGCTGCAACCCATCTCTGGGAAGCATCCATACACGCTCATTCACACACACACACTAGGGACAATTTAGCCTACCCAATTCTCCTATAGCCCATGTGTTTGGGCTGTGGGGGAAACCGGAGCACCCGCAGGAAACCCACGTCAACGCAGGGAGAACATGCAAACTCCACACAGAAATTCCAACTGGCCCAGGCTTGAACCAGCGACCTTCATGCTGTGAGGCGAGTGAGGTATTATCACAAATTGAAAAACAAGATTATTTAGCTTGCCCCATTGGCAGATTATTTAGCTTGATTTAAGGAAAAACTCACTTCATTTTGGCACATTATTTCTTAAAATAAGACAATATGTTTGGCTTGTCTAGAAAATGCTTCTTGATTTAAGAATTTGTAGATATTTAGACTAGAAACAAGTCAAAAACTTTAAGAAAGGCATTTTTGCAGTGTATTTAGCATTCACAAGTTCAGTTAATTTTGACTGACATGACATAAGCAGATGATAAAGTTATAAACAGCAGAGAGTTTTATGAAAGCAATTGATGTATGTCCAAAAGCATTTGTAGTTGTAAAACTCTTCCTCAGTCTGTGCACGTCACAGGCTAATACAATGCAAGGTAGTGCATAGAGCTCATTGGTCCAAGAGCAGGCTATCTCGCATCAACCCGTCTATTGACCCTGAGATGGTGTCAGCTACTTTATTCCATATCTGCTTTCCTTTTGGAGACAAATATTCCTCTCGCTATCAGCTATTACACTGCAATAAATGCTTTTCTTTCTTAGATTTTTTTGTCTCATTTTGAGTCCAAATATCTCACAATTCTTAAATCAAGAAGAATTTTCTAGACAAGCAAAACATATTGTCTTGTTTTCAGCAATAATGTGCCAAAATGAAGTGAGTTTTTCTTAAATCAAGCTAAATAATCTGCCAATGGGGTTAGCAAAATAATCTTGTTTTTCCTTTTGACATAAGATTATTTTGCTTACCCCATTGGCAGATTATTTTGCTTGTTTTAAGAAAAACTCACTTAATTTTGGCACATTATTTCTTAAAATAAGACAATATGTTTGGCTTGTCTAGAAAATGCTTCTTGATTTAAGAATTTGTAGATATTTAGACTAGAAACACGACAAAAACTCTAAGTAAGAAAAGCATTTTTTGCATTGTACCACTGTTGATATCCCACCATGTCCAACTATTGGTTTATTTGGGATTCTTCCGCCCGACCACACTTTACCCTCTCATTTTGTAGACTTTGTAGCCTTCATAACCCTTCTGTCTATAGGCGATTAAGTCTTCAAAACTGGAAGAGCCCTCACCCTCCTTCACACACTTGTTGGCAATGTTCTTTATTTTATAAAATTAGAAAAAATTAGGTACTCTCTTCACCGACCCAGCGCTATTTTTACTAAATTGTGGGAACCCCTTCGCAAACATGTCCAAACTCTTCAGCTTGACCCTGCTCCTTCTGATTGAGTCCTCACCCCCCAATAGCCAACTTCTACGGGAAACTATCACAGACTGTACCCTTGTTTTTTCTCTATATAAGATTGCACTAGTATAGTGGCACACCTTTCGTGCAAATCCTTATGTACCACCTTTTGCGGCTTCAATTCCAACAACCAGTATTTGCAAAAACGCGAGTAAGACCGAATCTTCTTTTAAAAAAGGTTCACTGAACAAATGCAAACAAAAATACAAAGTTACAATAGACTCGATCAGCTCGGTCAAAAAACTGTGTTGCTTCCAACATCCATAAGTGCAATCTGCCTAAAACGTATGAACTAATGACCTCATGACGTATTACTGTCGGAAGCCACAATACCAAATTAAAGGTTTTTAAATTATATCAATTACTAAATTATGCATTTTAGATAATACAATCACAATGAATTCTTATTAAATTTAAATATCAATTTTTATCATGTTTTAACCTTCACTAAATTATTATCACAAATGAATTATGCATAACTGGCTCTTACAACTAGTGTTGTTGTTTATTTATTTATTTATTTTTATTTATTATTACTTATTTCTATTATTATTATTTGCTCGAAATACTCTTCAGTGTTTTTGCTTATTGTTACATGTTTATGTCTTTGTATATTTTTGTAATGTTTCACAATGCATAAATAAAACATGTAAAAAAAGCATTTGTAGCTGTAGGAATGAGCAACTGCTGCTGGGATGTGCACAACTGTTTTGAGAAATGCATGAACTGTTGTGCAAATGTAAATAGTGTTGTGGGAAATGCACTAAAGTCACTGAGAAAAACTGTAATCTGCTTCAACCACCGATCACGATTGGAACAACCTCTTTGATGAAATGGTCGTTTGTCTGATCGCTCCCCCAGATATTTTTTTTAACAAATAAAATTAAAGAAATGTCTTTTAAAATTATTCACAGGTTTTATCCTGTTAAACAATTTTTATAAAAATTCAAACATCTCTTGCTCTGTCTGTGAAACCTCTCCTGAATCTGTTGCTCGTGAAGGAATGTTTGATGATTTAAACTTCATCTTATGCATTACTAGACTAATCCTTGCATTAATAGTTTGATTCTGTTTTAAACATCTTGTATGAACTTATGCTGATGTGTTTATCCTCATATAACCTTATGTGCTAACCCAATGACTGTAAAAAATATGGACGACGCGACAGCCCCTTTTCCCATTGAACGCCTTGAGGGCAAAACGCCTGTTTGACGGGCACAAACTGTCGCAAAAGACTGCTGAAATTGGAGCCTTGACATGCGCAGAAGGATTGTCTGATGGAGCCAGAGGAGGAGCCGCGAAAATGAGCAGAGTCGAGCTTCCAACCAAATGCTTTATGTAAAATCAACCACGCCCCCCGAACTTCTCAGCATGCGTTTGCTGTCATATCAACACAAATGGATGTAATAACGTTAACAAATATGAGGGTTTTATATATTCAATCGCGCCAGCTCCGGGCCGCAGCGCATAACCTACTCGCGGCGTCGCGGGCTGATTCCGGCTCGCTCGGCCGCCGCATCTGGCTCGATTGACTCGGGCTGGAATCAAGCAGTGAGTCCAGGCATCCGGAGTAGGTCCAGCAGAGGTAGTCAGTCTGAGCTCTGAGGGGTAAGTCTCCGGCAGGCGAGAATCTAGCTGGAACTGGCCCGAGTGTATTTTGCTATCTGGGTGGTTAGGCGTGTATCAGCAAACTAATAAAGCCCGAAAAAAGCCCTGACCTTAGCGAATAAACAGTGTTCCACCAGGATCATGTATGTCAGAAACTGTAGTTTACTGCTGAACTCATGTTGTCATAGTAAAATAACACAGAAATCGAATAATAACACTTCAGTCTCCTGCCGAAGCTCAGACGCGCTGCTTTGAGAAACTGTCAATCACAGCTGTCAATCACGATGACACGCCCAGCATTAAATTACTGCTAAAAACAGTTTACAAAAATGAAGATCTGCACCTATTTCAGCACAATAACCAGTGCCTTAATCGACCAGAACCATCTTTCGGGATATTTTATTGCAAGTGTAATAATTTTTTTTTTTTATTTGGGCTCAAGTCTCTTTCATTAACACGGAGGAGGCGGGCTTTATGACTTGTACTGCAGCCAGCCCCCAGGGGGCGATCTAACGGCCGAGACCTTCACTCAAACGCAGGCTTGCGGCACACTTGTGCTAACCTCATATAATGTTTGCTGCATAGCAGCTGTGCCTTTGTGTGACTGATAACCGAGAAGCTATCTCCTCTGTACTCGTTATTAACTTAATGTAACATTTTTTGTTGCAGAGTGTGCTCATTTACAGGAACAATCACGTGCAGGAGGGGCTCAAGCTCACTCTCTTGCAGGCTCTGTTATGTGTATGCGTAACATTTTCTGTGCAGATTTGCTGTTCTGCTTAACAACTGATGTTTGAACTGGTCTGGATGGAGGATCTTTCTTACTGAAGTGCCCATGGGCGGAAGGGAAATCGGCGATATATGCTTGGCTGCGAGGGTTAGAGAGTGTTGTGGTATGCCCACATGTAAACCTCATACTGTAAAGGGTTTATTCTGCAGCCCAGAGCGCTCTGTATGCTTTATCCATTTGATTCATTAAATTAATTGAAACTTATTTGAAGCCTCTGACCGATCATTGAACCTGGGGGACTAGGGGATAGTCCAACATTTGCTTATTTTGGGAGTGTCCCTCTGTCAAATCTTTTTGGTCTGATGTAAACTCTCTAATTGTCCAAAAGGTTTGTGGTGATTTTTTCTTTAAGCTATAGACATGTTATTTTGGGGTTTTATATTAAAGGAAAACAATTCATTGATTCAAGTTTTTGCATGAACCTCATTTTATTTATTGGAAAGTCTTTTATACACAAATGCAAATATACTCATTGTAGGCCTATTTTTATTTTTTTTAACAAGAACTAGCTCTTTATTTAAAAAACATCACAGACTTTCACAACAAGAAAGCTATTAAAACTTATAAAACATGTGCTTTATTTAATATTCTACAATCATTTGTTTTATCTTTGTCATGTGCCATTATTTTTTTCTTTTTTTCCTCTCTCTCTCGTTGTGTTTATTTTGATTTTCCTATATTATATTTGTTCTAAATGTGTTACATTCCACTCATTTTTTTAAAGTAATATTCCTATTGATTGTACCATACTTCTTTCAAGTTTTGTATCTGTGTTTGTTGTAATACTGTTATTATTGCAAAAACAAAAACGATCACGTGACCTGACAGGCACTGACCACACGGTGGCGCTGTTGAACAACACTATATTATACATTTACCAGATGGGGTGAAGTTGAGTCAGTAAACTTCAGCACACTGACACAAATCTACAGTAGATTCATCAGTCAAACCCCAGGCGTGGGCTGA